GCTAAACAACATTCATATGTTTATTAAAGTTTCTAGACATAACGTATGTGTATGACTTTCGTTATTATGTATTCACATTCCATGCGTTGACGGAGTTTTCTGTTTACAAAATATGGTAAGGTTTTTGAGATCATCATTGTCAAATCTCGTCATTTATTACATAAATAGATATGACTCCATTTTATCCATGGTAATTAAATAGTCACTTTAGGAGTTTCGTAAACTATGATGATTCCTAATCCTAATAATTCTTTTATTTAATACGTTTCTGTATTGCCCACCTAATTGTTCTTAGTTTCACCTAATTACAGGTTATTTTCGATTCACCTAAAGTGGCCTATTTTCTATGACAAGTTAAACCATTAGTACCTAAGTCAGCAACGCTATGTTAGCAGAGGATGCTCTTAATTATAAGTAAAAACTCTTAAGTGTAACTTTAAGTCATCACCTTGCGATACCATGTTCGCTTAATCATTTGAAAAAATTGTTGCCTTGAAATATTTTAGTCACAGAAAACTGGTTGTTTCAGCTTTGAATAATCTCACTATTACTATATTGTATAAGAATATCGTTAACATAAGTTAAGTATTTTATATTTTACCAACATCAAGCGCGCAAAATAAAAGCGTACTTTGTATTGTGTAATTTTGTCTGTGATCAAAATTTATTATTAAGCTGAAAAATTAAGCGCACGTATAATTTCTTTCAAAATGCAGGCTGTTTATTTATACATTCTGTAAACACTATTAAACAATACATTAAAGATACGTAAATATCTTTGAAATATAAATATTTATTACGATAGGTATCTTTTATGAAAACCATAATATGTTACTACTTATTTAATAAACATATTTCTCCTTTACCCTACAGTAAAGGAGAAGTATAATTATGAAGTAATATGCAATTGTCTTTTTTTAAATTCATGGAACTTATATCGAGGCGTTAATTAGATACTTACGTATCTAAATGAATGGATTTCGATCAAAATTGACACCCAATCATTTCGTACTACAAAAATATGCAAGTAAGTAATTTCCACAGAGAATTTTGTTTAATAAGGTACTTACTAGACAAACTTATAAACATAAAATTCGACGGATTATTATTAAATACAGATATGCGTACGCACATTTGTTTATCTAACAATTTTAGTAGTTTACAGGATGGATAAATAATTATTAAGTATTTCTTTATCATATCTTTGATATAACATTAACCAGTTAACTAATTTACGGTGATACAAAATATTAAGCTAAAGCATGTTGCGTGTTTATGAAATCATGTTAAGAAATTTCATAAAATACCATATATTTATATTTACATAATTTCATAGAATAGATACAGGCTTAAATATGGCTGTTACATACAAGTCTGCAATAGGTCGATGATTATTATATCTAATATGGTTGTAAAAATATTCGTCTGTAGAGGTTGGTTTGTTGTTAATTATTGTAGTTAGGTATTTATTTTTCTGTTATAGTAGATTTAGTAATTCACGAAAACGTTCTAGACACTAATATTATCTTCTACATAAATATAATTTAAAGGCTTTATGGTCTAATCGTACTAACTATTGTAACTATTACTATAATTACTACCTATTGTTGCTATGGCATATTTATATTATCTTGATATTATTATTGATTGACAGAAATGTATACAACGAATTCTCGACTATACAAAATATTCCGATTTTCGACACATTGTTAAATTTCGGTCAATCAATTAATTACGCAAAAACAGTCAGACCTGGATGAGCGAGAATTAAAAAGAACTTGGATTTTTTCACTTAACTAAATCTATAATTACAACTGAAGTGATGTATAGATGTTAAAGGAAAGTGATGTGTAGGACGATGTTGTAAAATTCAGTAGATATCTATACTATTATTTCAGTCTAGGTGTTTAAATATATAATACCTAGATTATATTACTCTTATAAAACTCACGATTGATATTCATTTATTGTGTAATTTGAGAATATAATCACGCTTTTGAAACTTAAATCTCGTGCTTGACCGAAAGTAGGTATTCTCAAAGAATGAAGCAAAAAAACAATGATCGTGCCTAATTTATTGTGACGGTTTTGTTAGTTAACCGAACTATCGTAAGTAACATCAGGCAGACGTCGTCCTATCCAGCGACAAGCGGAATAAGCTCCAATTGTATTTTCAAACGTTCCTGGAACGAATTGAAATATACACTCAATTCTTCTAAATAGGAGCAGAGACCGCTTAGGAGAAAATAGGTGATAAATATACGTAGGCAGAAGAAATATATATCTATATTAAGAAGATAAACAAGTGGTTCAGAAAAATCACTCTCTCTAAGACGTCAAGGAGTTACAATGATGAAACATGGCAATTACACTTACATATTCAGTACCAGTTCAGCCAACAGATTTGACTGTAAGAAAATAATATTTATCACAGACAATTAAAAAAATATAGACGGACCACTAAAGCAGGTAATGAAACTATACTAACCATATACCTGCGAAATATCTTGGCACCGAATATATATTTTTGTTTTATCTCTATTACTAGATACCAAAAGAATACTTACATACATAAACAGATTTGCAATATATGCATATGAAAAAAATATTAATTTGATAAACCAAAAATAAGTTATTCCTTTTCAAAGACAGCAGAATAATGAAGTGGCAAAATATTTAATTCAATTAATTAATAGAATTTAATAGTTTTATTAAGAAGGATATATTAAAGTTTCTTAAGTGTTGGCAACGTGCACGTGATACCCTAGTGTTTGACGCGTCCATAAGTTACCGTAACCGCTTACCATGAGATCGGCCGCGTAGGTACTTGATTGCCATCATTGTGGTATAAAAAAAAACAATGTTCTGTCTACTGAGAATATCAAGATAATATGAATTTAAAATTTATATTAATATTCATTTTTAGCTCAAACATAAAACAACGATTGTGTTTAAATTACATTATCACATAGGTTTCATAAAACAGCCGCAGGCATCTACTACCTACTTACTAAATTAAACAATATGTAAGATAATATTTAAGAGTTAATTAATTTACTAAAAACACAAACATTATGCTTTAATACTTTGTAATACAATATACATAGTTGTCGAACATCGTGTTCTTTATTAATAAATAAATATACCAAAACAAATCGTACATGATAAAATTGTAAACATGTACTTAGATCAATAACAAGCACATTAGTCACATAGTTTGAAAGTTTCGATTCATTGAACAGCGCAAAATTTCTTGTGGAGCGAGTTCATCGAAATAAAATATCACGCACATGCGACTAGTTGTTTTATTTTATATACCTATCCCTACAGATCTGGTTGCTGGTGTTTCGTTTTTCTCTTTATAGATTCAGGAAAAGTGTCCTCCATACATCTTCACCAGGGATGTTAGGGAGCTCCGTAACCGTAACCGTAACCGAATCCGAAATAAAAGTTTCGGATAATATCGGATAGGGGCGGAGCCTAACACAGACATGTTATGTAACCATATCATTAGCTATTTGTATTTTACTTTTGAAATTCCTTAAAAAATTAATATCCATCACTGAAATTATCCGAAACTAACGGATAATCCGAAATAATTTCATATCCGCATCTATATCCGTATCCGGTATAATAATCACTCCTATATCCGAAACCCATCCGTATCCGAAATTTCTTATCCATAACATCCCTGATCTTTACTAACTTAGATACCACGGATTAAAGGCAGTATATAAATACCTAAGTAAACTAATTTACCAACTTGTATTCTAAATAGTTTTTAAAATAAGGCACTATTAAGTATTAGACACTATTTTAAGTTTTACGATGTCTGTTTTGGTTGTACGTAAGAAATGTAAATATATATATTACTAGCTGTTCCTGCAACTTCGTCCGCGTGGAATTTAACCTTATTTTACTAAAATAAAAGAATTTTCTAAAAAAAAGTAGCCTAAGTTACCCCTTTTTTACATCAGCTACCTACCAAAAAAATCCCGTCAAAATCGGTTCAGCCATTTCAGAGATTAGCCGGAACAAACAGACCAACAGACAGACAAAAATTAAAAAAATATATATTTTGGTATATGTATCGTTTATGTATTCATATACATGAAGTAAAAAACGGTTAATTTCAATATTACAAACAGGCACTCCAATTTTATTTATATGTATAGATATATAGATATATATATATATGTGATTCAGTCAGCCAACTATTAACAGCCTTCATTTGTATTTATTTTTACCTAATTTCATACTAATAATATCTAATGGTGATTATTATTATATCCTTTCTCAGAAGAAACACAGATTTGTTGTAGTCTACTGTATAAATATTGAACATTTACTGTCAGTTGAGTCTATGTCTTTAAAAGGGCTTTTTTCATGATTTTTGTGATTCAACCAATCAAAAATAAAACTATTTTCATTTAAAATAACAATATAAAAATAAAAGTATGGTTGGTTTCATGAGAAAAATTTTAGCCCAATAAACACCACATACATTTAATCTGGTCACACTGGCAGTATGCCAAAGTCTTAAAAATACTTAAAAAAAATTGTCGAATTATTGAATTTTGACATTAATTTTATTATTTTTTTACAAAATCATAGACATGTGCGAAAATTAAAACTTGTTTATTAAAAATCAAAAATTCATTTTAAAATGAACTATCAATGGAGTAGCAATATAATTAAATGTCATAAATGCCGTCACACAATTCTTGAAGAAATATGTGAAAGGATACACAAAAACACATGTGATAGTATGTGTAACAGTTACAATATCAACAAATTTATTCACCTACAGGAAGACAAATTGCCACAATGGATAAAAATAAAAATTGAGGATGAACAATGGACAAAAGGAAAACTTCACTGTGAAAACTGTAATTCTAAAGTTGGTTCATTTGATTTTATATCTGGAAGAAAATGTGATTGTACACAGACTATCCTACCGTCTGTGCATTTAATATCAAGTCAAGTTGATAGACCTATAGTCACTAAACAATTAACATAAAAGTAATATTAAAGTTAAAAATAACCTTCATAAACAATCTTTTTATTCATAACAATATATTTTAAATTCATTCTACAACCATTTGTGAAGATATTGCATCATTTACTTCAGAATCTCTGCATTGTGCAGCTTGTAATTCTCTGCGTATCTGTAAAAAAATGTAAATAATTATTCTGTAATAAGATAGTGAAGATGGATCAGTAATATACGTCATACAGTCACACTAATTATATCAGCCTCAATTTTAAGAAAAGACTACTGTGAATATACTTGCCAGAATAGCAAAATTGAAAAACATATTTAAAACAGCAGATGGGGCTTTTTTAAATTTGGCTTTCAGTTTGTATGAATGGTCACACAAAATGATAACTTATAATACTTAAAATTATCTTACCCCATATTAGGTTATTACTGTTCGAAAAATTTTTACTTACATTCATTGAAGGGAAAACTATATATCAACTTTAACAATAATTTTATTATACCCCAATAACTTAAACATTCATAAAGATATTGTATTGTACCACACAAAAATTCACGATCAAAGTTAAAAACTATAAGGTGAAGACCTACTTCTGGTGTGATTGTAGGATGCAGCTGTTTTCTTAGTAATTCAAGTAGGGCATCTCGTTGTTCAGTAGATATATCTGCTTTATAGCGCTGCACAAAAGTTAACAGTGCCTGATGCCACAACACTGGCAAAGTACGAGAATCCATTTGGAACCTAAAGAAAATATACATATTATAAATTTTCTCATTATACATTGTATGATGAAACAGTCTGAATTGCCATACTGTGATAATACCATACAATGAAAACCCAAATTAAATTCATCTTCTAATATTATAAATGTGAAAGTGTGTCTGATTGTCTGTATTCTTTTTCGCAAGGAAACAAAGCTTAATAGATTTAAACAATATTTGATATGGAAAAATATTTCAATCAGTTGAAGAACATGAGTAGATGGTTACCACATCTACTCATGTTTTTAACTAGTTGTCAAATATTAACCATATTGTAGCTGATGCAACAGTCCACATATATTATGGTTATAGGACAATATCAAGCTTCAAGCCCCAAGTGAAGGATTTTTTTTTACATAATAACTAAAATGAAAATATATAGATTACATACCTAAGAAAATGAAACACAACAGCATCAACAACTCTATATGGTAGTGCATATTTTTTATCAAATAAGATTCGTAAAAATATAGAGTTGGCCCCAGTGTAATCCATTTCAGCTATTTTTAGTAATGCGGCACTAGAGTGTAACACAGGTACAGAATTACGGGCTAACACTGAACCAACAATAATAGCCTCTCTCAAAGTACAGTCTCCAGCCTGAAATATTATTATTGTGATACAATTCTCCACATTTATTACTTTATTTAACAATTTGCTGTTATGAATTTACCTTAATTGGATAGTACCATACTATTCCAAAGAGATGTTTAATACATACAGACATAATGTAAACCTCTGAATAAACAAGTGTAGAGATACTCAATACTCAATGAGTATAAAAAGAAATCAGTTGGTATTATATAGCTTATATTATATATTAATAATATAAGCTTTAAACTAAAACTTACTTCCAAAAGAGGCAGAAGAATGCCTTTCATGAAAGCCCCTGGTTTAAATAGAGCCTTCCTTAAAGCTTGATATAAATGAAAATTCAACCTCTTGTACTCGGCCAAGTCATCCCTGACTCGAGGTAGCAAGACCAAGTTGTAGAAACGTTGAGCCATTTTCTCTTTTAAATTAGAAGCAAAAATTCTGGTAGCCTGCAAAAAGTAAACATATTATATCCCTAACACATGTATGTCCTGGTTCAGTAACCTTGTTATCATACAGTTACAGGCAACGTATGAAATTAGTCATATATATATAGAACAATGACTGATTTCGCAGATTGTTGTCAACAGTAATCCATGAAATAATGATTTATCCTAGTGATTTAAATGTGCAGTCATTTTAGGGTGGACTGGGCATTACTAGTAAGTTACAGTCTGTGTAAACAATCAATGATACACTAGAAGTATTATATTTAAAAGGACTTTATTTACTTTGAATTTAAATATACCTTTATATTAGAACTAAACTGAAATAGATATAAACATATTTACTTATTTATTTTATAACTATACATGAAATATGTACCTGATACATTGCAGCTGCAGACCAAGTTGTGGGTTCTGTTATGTACAATATCTGTTCCCAATTTTGAAGGTTTGGAACCATTTTAAATGCTTTAGGTAATTTGCCCGAGCGATATTTTTTAAGAACATCTCGCACTCCTTCGTACATTGTTTTGATCCTATTCAAAGACATACGTAATTTCATTACATTAAGGATATTTAGAAATTTAATACACCAATATATTAAAGTTTGAAATGTATGTTCACCTATGTAAAAAAGGTATTTATATTTTATAAAAAGTGATACTTGATGACTTTTGTGTTCTAACTTAACTTTCATGTCATATTCTCTTCTTCACTTTCATTCATCACTTATTTAGGGTAGTTGGAACACATTTCAATTGTAATAAAAGAAATACATTTTCTTAAGGTATCTTTAATCAATTTGCCAATTACACTAAAATATAGAAAAGTTAGGCCACAATTAATAACTGATATGCTACATTCCTGCATTATTAAGATTTAAAATAAATTAAAGATTATACCTACATACCTGGGGTCAATATTCTGTAACTTAAGAGTTTCAACATCTGAAAACTGTGTTTGTAATTCTGTTTGTTTGTCAGTAATTTTATCTTTTATGATATCTGCTAGTGTTCGAGTTTTTTCTGAATTTGGTGACATAAACATTTTCAAAGCTTCCTCATCATCATCATTAATTTCAACATTATCATAGTATGTATCCAATTCCAAATCATCATGCTCTGAACTAGATTCTTTATCTGATTCTCCATCTGAATTTTAACATTCATAGCTTAATTACTGTGTATGACAGTAAAATTATTTATATATCATTCATATATGTGTAATAAATAACAATATTTATAATATTGATATAAAATTACATAACTAGCCACACCTAAACTAGATTTAAAAACAAGTTAAATAAATGTATGCAGCTACCACAAACTTTATACTAACCATTGAACATTGATTGTAATTGAACATGTTTAGCAGGAGGTGGCCCCGATTCATCAGGCCCCAGCTCCGCTTGCTGCCTTCTAGCAGTCTTTAAAATTTTTTTTGACAAGTCAGCTTTAATGAACTAGAAACAATAAATTATCTTTAGAAGATGTGCACAGATGACAAGGTTATAATAACATTATATTATAATATTTTACATATGAAACTTGCGATTTTATAATAGAATTAGTTCTCTTCGGTAATTCTATCTACAAGTAGTAGTCAGTCTATATTTTCTGCAGGCCTGAACTCCAAATACATAAGATTTAACATATACTGCTCTTAATCTCAATTTAAAAATTCGCAATTTTAGTTTATATAGATTTCAGTAATGAACCATTAAAGAAATCTGAATAAACTAAAATTTAATAAATAAATAAAATATGTATAAATTAAATTTTCCCATATATCTGGCAATTTATTCTCCTTCTCAATATGAAGCAAATTAAATCAATTATTACAAGAATACATTATAATAGAAGATACACTACATTATTATTTTTACATATACATTGTTGTTATGGGGTCTATTATGTATCTATATGTCCCTGTGGCTGCAGTGGGCTCAATGCATGAAGGTTGAGTTGTTACTTCTATAATTTATAAGGATGGTTCAAGGAACTGAGTAACTGATACTCATCAAGATGTGTCAATCCTATAGACCAATCATGAACTATAGTACCTAGGAGGGTATTGATAATAGAGACTAACTGCCACTTTACTAGCATTGTAACATGTCAGATGGACCTCTCTCGCAAACTTAGTGGTTCATTACAAATGGACTGACTGGCTTCAGCTTCAAGGTATCGTCGTATGCCGCTTATGCATGATTTCTATTTTATCATGGAAAAAATGTTGTATGCATTTTTAAAAAGCAGTTTTGTCGGTAATGTTCAATATTTAATTTTATCCATTACCTCATCATCATTATCGTGTCGATTTCTTTCTTTGTGCCGCTTCCTACTTTTTAATACGTTGACTGATTCTATTTGATCGGCGAGGGCTATGTTTCTTCCTACTTCTGAAGGTTTTGACTTCTTAACTTTTCCCATAATTAATATGTTGATTTTATGGTATGATACACAATTATTTTGATTTAAGATTATTTGTTGTATTATATACTAATATTTATAAAACACTACTAAAGAATAACAGAAAATAAGATAAATGCAGAAAACTACAAATAGAAATTATAAAATACAACATGTGCGCAGTGCTGCCATATAGTCGTCGTGCTTTTACCAAATGTCAATAAAAATACCCTAAGAATTAAATAAACTAAATTATCAAATTATATAAATATAAATATATAAAAATTTATATAGACTACTTCTAAATATAGTAATGTTATTGTCGTTATTTTGTGTATTTTGATGGTTCGAGAGCCTGATGACCTGTGAGCGACGAATTTTAACATCACTGCATGTGTGGTTTTAAAAGGCTCAATAGGACTTGGCTATCCAAAGCTATAAAACATAATAAATAAAAATGGGGTCTGTGGGGCAGTGTGGGGACTGGGGTTATGTCTATTTAATTTGTGGCGGTGCCAAAAGCCAATTACAAAACTATATTCTTTATAAATATGAAGAAAGTAAAAAGATAACTTTTAAATAATTTTATTTGTTTCAATTTTTAGGTGGTAGATACCACGGAGCTGTTTGATCCTTGGATAAAGATTGATACAAAGAATATGGATTGATACTTGGTCCTAGTGTTTGATCATACTTCGTTGGCAACACTGATTGTTTATTTTCAAAATTTACTATAGTTACCTATTACCTAGAAATCTATATTATTCCTATAAAATTACTAGAAAAATCTCGAATATAATAAAGAGAAGGACTTGGCGACGGGATTATATTTTTTAAAATAAAATCTTTAAGTAATTTTGTTCATAAGTACTGTATTTATTCCACTGTTAGAACTATACGCTAGAAAAGAACACTATTTGCTTTGAGTGGTGTGTGAAAATATAACCTACAATACAGTAAAGTAATAATTACAGGAAAATAAGTGAGTTTACATAGAAACAAACCACGAACACGGAAAGACCATCTGAAATCTAACTTTAATAACCTTTTAGCAGAGTATAATATTTACGGTATGTATTATTACATCGTATAGTTCAGTTAGCCCCTTATTACTATCGTTACTCCATATTTATAAATAAGTTTATTAAAAAGAAATATGAGCACCTCATTGCAACGTGGTTACATTAGATGTAATACCTAGTATCATCAACAAAATCAGTAGGTTTATTGTTCTACACGATTTTTTAATCTACCTGCCTTACATTGATGAGCATAAATTTAATACACTTAGTTTTATTTGTATTTAATGTATTAAATTTATGCTCACCAACTGCGCCACCGCATATTATTAGTAGTAACTATTTTAAAACAGAATTGAAAGCACTGTTTGCTTCATCCATATCATTAATATATCGATTAACTTTAAATACTAATGAAGTAACTAGTATGTGTAAAAGTGTTTTATGATCAATACAATCAAATATGTATTTCATGCAAGCAAGAAACAAACGTCAGTAGTAGATTTACTGACCTTGAAATCAAATTGTCAACTGTGAAGCAATCTTTTTTCTCTCACTGCTCCACCAAACTTGGATACTTAGTGTAGTACATAAAAACAATATTATGTTTGTATTACTCTTCATGCTCCAAATGTAATTCATTTATATAATTTTCTTTCTTTCACATTCCAGATACAATGACATCAGAAATAATAGCTACACCTCCTTCAGTTTCCTGGGCACAAAGAAGCTCTCAAATTTTACTAACATTTAATGTAGAATGTCAAAAACCAGAAATTAACATTGAAAAGAAAATTGTGTCCTTTAAAGGTATTTGTGCACCAGATCATAAATTACATAAGGTGGAAATACAGTTATATGGTGAAGTAAATCCAGATAAAAGTACATATGATAACAAAGGCAGATACATTGACCTAACACTAGTAAAGGAAAAAGTAGATGAACCTTTCTGGCCTACATTAACAAGCGATAAAAAGAAACATCATTGGCTGAAAGTTGATTTTAACCGCTGGCAGGATGAAGATGACAGCAGTGAGGAGATTGATGATATGAATGATATGTTTTCAAGTAAGCTAGGTGACTTTGGTGATGAAAATGAAACAGAAGACACCAGTTCTGTGGAAGACGAAGATCTTCCAGATGTAAAGTAATATGTCTATGGTATAGCTGCCATTTTTACCAAATAGCAATCATAGGTCAGCCACTTTAGGAACTCAATTAGTGTTTATACAGAATAGTAAATTGATGATTTTATACTGAATAATTTCTAACTTGGTATTAGCGGTACTTGTTTATTATGAAGATATTCATTCCAAGTGTGCTAAAATTTCCAATATTTTACAAATAGAAATTATATCAATTAGATAAAATATCAGATACATTTGTATCTATATCTTAGATTAAATATTATAGATGAACTTGATGAATCTTGTATGCCGCTTATGCATGATTTCTATTTTATCATGGAAAAAATGTTGTATGCATTTTTAAAAAGCAGTTTTGTCGGTAATGTTCAATATTTAATTTTATCCATTACCTCATCATCATTATCGTGTCGATTTCTTTCTTTGTGCCGCTTCCTAATTTTATTGTTTTTAAACTATTCAAATGTTAATTCTGAATACAAGGATATATTTAGTTATATTCAAAATGCAAAATTATATAATTTATCTGTTTCAATTATTTTGGTCAGTTTTTCCAAAATTTATGTACAAGGAAAATAATTTGAAATAAAGTATCCTGAATCACATAAATGTCATATTTAAACTATTTTGATATTATAACTGAAGGCTAAGCACTCAGACGCGACATTATCAGCACTGGCAAAAGTTTTGGAATATAAAATTGAATAACAATTCTTGTTAAGGTTGGTTTTTTCATTTACTTTCTTTACAAAAAACGAATTAAGAATATACTAGTATTATTACTTATATCAACCATACATTTAATAATCTAATTTGAGTATATGGAGTAGCGAGCTATCAGCGTCATCAGCCACTCATAGGGTTCTGCCCTGTGAGTGCTGACTGGGCTATTATGTATCTGTGCACATATAAACTGTTTGAACCTAAGCAATGGTTGTCTAGTTTTAAAACTAAGCGACGCTTATAGTATATTATTTTGTTCTGTTTATCGTTTAAAGAAAAGGCAAAGGAGTTCCCAAATGCACCAATATAGCCATATCTGCGTGTTTGATATTCTTCATTTTTTTTAGTTTATTGAATTGTTGAGATAATGTAGTCATACAGTGCTTGCAGTATGAATACTAAATAACTGACAGAACCAGTATTTTTTTTAGAACCTACCGTACCAATATTTGTATTTTTAAGATAAGAAGCTGTCTGTGCTTCTTATGTCCCCGTTTTCGTAGATGTGAAAAAAATTATGTTAAGTATTAGAAATATGAAATGAAAAACAAAGTAAGTTATAATAGAATTTTTTTTTATAAACAAAAAATATATAATACGTATTATTTGAACCCGGAACTAACATGCTGAAACAATATATTCAATACTGTTAAGACTGTTGGGAATATTTTAACATGATCATTTTATTTCATTTTTCCAACGTCTTACTTCTTCAGTTTGATACTGCATATTTTTTTTATAAATTTCTAGAATTTTATTCATAGACAAAACTTGCCATCAATTCAATGCTTGTCTAATCGAACAATAGTCAAATGATAAACTAATATTCCACCGTAGCAAATAGTTTTGACAATGCTAAAATATTCACTATGGTGATGTCTTATGTCATAACATGTTCAGTAATTGTTTCTCAAGTAATCATTTCCTAAAAAAATAAATAATATAAAGTAAACTCTGAAAACATATAAAAATGCTTTACGATAATTTAAACAAAAAAACATAACAAATATGGGTCAGATATGCGAATCACGGTCATTATCAAAAATGCCAAAGATCTCATCAGGAGTTAAGAAAGCGTCTTCCGGAAGTACAAAGAAATCTAAAAGTGGTAATTTGCTGAAAATTTCTGACCCTAAAGTCCAAGGAGTTCTCCTTGTGGGTTTATTGGCTGTTTTAACTTTAGCACTCTGGTTCGGCTTCACGCGCGGCTGTTTGGGACGTAGACGACGAAGACGTTCTTGCCGTTGATTAGTGCAAGAATAGTTTAAAAAACGCCTATTTATTGTTCCGATGTTTTTCAAGTAATTGCTTTCTTTTATTAATAAAATACAGCAATTTTTTATTACATAATATATTTATTCAAAATTGAAATACATGACAAGTAACTAATGTACCACAGGTATAGAAGTGGCGATAATTGATTAATCACCGACGATAACCTGAAACATACATATATAATAGAATAACTGAAGTACAATAATAATTTATACATATTGATGTGATAGATTCTAAAGTCGACTACTGGAATTTGAAGTTAGCTGTTTAAATGTTCAGATACGCACTCTGCTTCCGAAACTATTATAATTTATATTTTACCAATAACAAACTACACTGTTTCAATTACCTATTATATTTTTTACCACATGTATACAAATAAAAATTAATACTTAATATTCAGCGAAATGTTCGTCATTATTATTGTACTTAAATTTAATTAACCTCTAATTTGTGGTTGTAGCAGCTGGTTCATCCCAGTTTCCACTACCATTCCCCCAATCATAACTATCCTGCTGGTTTTCAGAAGATTCCTCCTGTTCTGCACCTGCAAATATAACACAATTTTAATTAATATTGAAACTAAATATTTAAAATAAACTTAATGACCAAAAATTTCATCACCAACAGACTAGTACACTATGTTCTACAAGAAAATTACCTTTATGCTAAATGTTTTATTAAAATCCCATTAATTTTTGCGATAGTATTTTGTTACATCCGTTTCAAAAAACAGGAAATAAGGGTTACGTAGATGTAACGTTCTGTGTAATTAACTTGTTTGTCTGGAAGAGGCCTAGACTGATCAATCCTAATTAGATTGTTCATGTTCTATTTGAGGAGATTTCGGAATCGACGCATGAAAAAATGATTATTTCATTAAAAAAACAATTTGGTTACAATTACATAGTATTGGGATGACCTAGTAAGCATAGATATGCCTATGTCAGGTGGGATATCCATATACATTGTCATATGTATTTTTTTTACATGTTTTCCCAATTCTTTACTTTGTTTGTTTAGTAAAATTAGACTTGGATATAATAACATTATTGACTGAATTAACATCGTTAGTAATATAGTACGTCTCTACAATACTATACTCAAAAAGTTAATTAAAAATGTACCTTCTTCATAATTAGCAGATGTCTTGGTTAGATCTTCTATGTCTTCTTCACCTAATGAATAATAAATTTAATTAGAACTTATATTTTTATTCTTTATCTCGTTACCCCGTTACCAGAAATACGATTAAATTCAAAATATCTTTATTCGTGTAGGTCTATTACAGACTCTTATGATATGTCAAATCTACCATTAGTTCGGAATGATCATTAAGATCATTAAGATTCTGGTAACATCTTAACATATTTCAAGATGCATAAAAGTATACCTGTAGTTTCTGGTCCACTGGTATTTTTAATATGTATGTTGGGTGTTAATTGGTATAATTTTTTGTAAGTGATAATTGATTATAAATTTGCCAAAACAATTATTTGGCAAATTTATAATCAATTATCACTTCATATGCAGGTTAAAAAACAAGCTTACACTGGAGAAAAGTCCATTAAATATTGGAGATACTATTACTAATAACATATCACACCAAAGTTTTTTTACTGTAAATTAACAGTTTACAGGAAAAAAAAATGGTTCCATAACAAGAATTTCAACAAAACTACTACAATCCTGTCACATATTTTTTGCACCTACACTCAACGTCTAAAACCGGCAAAGGTAAATTTATTCCGTCAAACATTTTATCATAGCGCTGCATTCGTAATAGTCCAATATAATTTTAAATTAAACATGATATGACCAGTTTTGACGCAATATAAATAAAATAAGTCCGTGAATACATGAATAATAATATTCAAAAGTATTTTTTATTTAAATTGAAGGGAAAGGGATGAAAAAAATAAAAAGGGTTGAAAAATGCTTTTTCTCAAAATAACTCGATAATGGTAAGAAATATCAAAAAAAGTTTTAAATAAAAGTTGTAGAGAATAAAAATCTGCACAAAATAGGTGCTTTTCATTTTTTCATTATCTGCTGCTGTTAGGCACAAAAAATTAAAAATTACTTTGGCTCGATGACAACTGAAAAATTAGTAAAAAGCGAGTAAAAGCCCTATATAATACAGCGCGCGTATCACACAGATAAGCACTAATACTATTACACATGTTTCCCTTTTAACAGATTGTTCACCTATTAGTTTTAGTTAATTTTTTTTTATTTTGTGGCTAAACAACAGCAGATAATGAAAAATGTAGAGGACCTGTTTTGTGCAGATTTTTGTTTTCTACAACTTTTATTTAAAACATTTTTTCATATTTCTTACCGTTATCGAGTTATTTTTTAATTTTTTATATCTTTCCCCTTAACATTAATCAAAATTTATTTCTAAAATTAATTTTACATCTTTGTGGAATTATTTTTATATATTGCGCCAAAACTGGTCACATCATGTTTAATTTAAAATTTTACTGGACTATAAAATACTTGCCCAGTTGTGTGGATTGGGAAACTGTAATAATATAAATAAACGAACCAACAGACTCGCCATGCGTTCCGCCTTTCATCATTTTCAGAATATGCTGTTTTTCTTTAGCGAGATGTCTTTTCCCATTTAAATGCATAGTCATCTGCTCAGTACATGTAACAGAAGTCTGAAAAGAGAAATTTAATATTATTTTCACGCCGATCTTATTCTTAAAAGTGGGAGTGGTTTGGCATATTATTTAAAATTGTAGTATACCCATTTTTAAGATAGACGAAAATTAAATAACAAAAAATATTTTAAACATGTGCAAATAAATTGTTACTTTGATATCCCCCTTAAGTTACGTGTAGTGTCGGCATCGCCACCAATAAAATAACCCTGCAAGTCTAGTCTAGTCTAGTCCCAAGTCAAGCAGAGTTGTACTAGACAACTGATAAAAATACTTTTTTGTATTTATGTATTTGTATCAGATAGATCAACACAAACAATCATACTTATGTATACAAATGATGGCATCCTGCGAGGATCAAACGGTGTCGAACGAAGGCGGTATGCTACCATATACCTACATATAAATAAAATTGGAGCGTTTGTTTGTAATATTGAAATAACAGTTTTCTACTATATGCATATGCATATAAATACGATACATACACCAAAATATATTTTTTTACAATTTTTGTTTGTCGGTCTGTCTGTTTGTTCCGGCTAATCTCTAAAATGGCTGGACCTATTTTGACGGGACTTTTTTTGGCAGATGGCTGATATAATAAGGAGTAACTCAGGATACTTTTATATTAGAAAAATTAGCTATTAACTATACTATATTTAACTAACTTATATTAAAAAAAAATTATATAATGATCATACATTACCAAAACCCCTTTTGCTGTGGCTCCGCAATTCCAGAACACGTCCATTACCATCTCTAAGAGTATTGGGATTCTCGGTATCGACATCTCTAGCACAGTTGAGTTCCGTAGTCACCTCGAAGAAAAGGTTAAGCTGGCATCCAAAAAACTCGGTGTGCTCAATAGAGCGAAGCGGTACTTCACTGCGGACCAGAGACTCCTCTTATATAAGTCACAAGTTCGGCCGCACATGGAGTACTGCTCTCATCTTTGGGCAGGAGCACCTGGATACCAGCTCGGTCCTTTTGACTCGGTTCAGAGACGTGCTATGAGAATTGTCGATGATCCCAATCTCTCTGACGGTATCGAGCCACTTAGTTTGAGGCGAGACTTCGCTTCGCTTTGTGTGTTCTACCGATTATACAACGGACTGTGTTCTGAGGAATTGTTCGACATGATGCCTACGGCCACCTTTCACCATCGCACCGCTCGCCATCGACAGGGAATTCATTCCCACACGCTGGAACCTAAGTGGTCTCGGACAGTGCGGTTTCAGAGGAGCTTCCTCCCGCGTACACTTAGATTGTGGAATGAACTTCCTGCCGAGGTTTTCTCACGAGACTACAGCTTGGGGTTTTCAAGAAGGGTATATTAAGGTTTCTTAAGGGTCGGCAACGCGCACGTGACACCCCTGGTGCTTCAGGCGTCCATAGGCTACGGTAACCATTTACCATCAGATGGCCGTATGCTTGTTTGCCACTATAGTAGTATAAAAAAAAAAAAAGTTGGAAACTATTTTTTATTGTCTATATTTATATAAATATTATATTGTTTTTATATGACTAAAGTCATTAATACACAATTATTTTACGACTATACCGGTGCCGTTTTTTTTGCTCGTCGTCTTGGTCTCCATCCTTCACAGCCATATTAAACCTCTAATTTAGCTACGTATGAAAAGTTCTCGTGTATTAACTAGTTATGACACCGTACCTATAATTATATACTATGTCGTATTTAATCTATATTAATAATTTCGTCAAGGAGTACGGTAGACTCGAATGAAACCTTATGTGAATAACAAAACATAAAAAAATATTGATTTCGAATCGACAACATATATGCGCAAAATTCGGATTATGGAGTATTTCGTTAAATTCTAATGACACTGACAAACAAACCGCAGTCGCCATCTTTTCATTTCACTAGCATTTTCTTCGGTCGTTAACATTTCGCGAAAATATTATTATTGACACTTTTTTATGATAAAAGAGTATGTGTTTTTTCTTTAAACCTGTAATTGGCCGATTGCGAGAAAATTTGCCAATTTTTATTAATTTGTTTTACGATCTGGATACCAGCCAATTTTAGCCTAACTTAAACTTTAAACTTAAAGTTTTACAAAAAAATAGAAATTATTTGTATAACAACTTTTGCACTTTTTATTTACTATATTTATTAAACACAATGAACGAAGCTTTACAAATCTATGCCTTGCTTACTTTTAATATTCCATGAGAACCGATGACTACAGAAATATCTACCCACATTTCACCCGAGCGAAGCCGGGTTTTCATCTAGTTATAATATTAAATTAATAATTTCGTTACCTTGCATATATCGCAGAACAGGTCAGGTTGAATATTCTTAGTTTCTTGCACAGCTTGCAGCTGTTGCGCTTCAACATCTTCATGTTTAATAAACTTTTTCTCGCGCCGAATCAGCATCTCCCTGATTAATACTTTTTTTTAGAAACAATATTACTTTATTATTAATTGTGAATATATGTGCGGGAACTTACAATCGACCTTCCATTCCTTTTTGAAGCAAAAATGCATTTTTCGGTAGTTTCCGTCCATCAACAATACTGTAAAAAAATACTTGTTATTATGTATGCCGTCATAATAAGATAAGCCGTCAAATCAGTTATTAACTTGTACAAGAACAATTTTAAATTTATTTTTTGCTTGTTAAGATTTTAATAAACTGTATATTTAATAAAATCTTCACATGATTAATTATCATTCAATATATAATCAAACAAAATATAAATAATGAAAATGACGCATTTGGTAGAAATATCTTTTTTAACTAAAGACTTACGCGCGATGCGGCTTCCCAGCATAGTGCGACTCCGCATGAGTCTTAGATGTTATGTGAACATCACAGATTTCGCAATATAGATCACGCGACTTCAGCGGTACCTAAAATAATATATAATTAACATCATGTAGTAGTATTATAAATACAAAAGTAGGTATGTTATATCTGTCGATTTTTTACCTTGTGACAACAAAACGAACGGATTAATTTTGACGTGACTATAGAACCCAGGATGAATAATATAGAGGGCATCTAATATCTTTTATTTCAAAAGAAGCATATGCAGTCGCGGGTCACAGCTAGTTACTTGTGTTATGCCGCGAACATTATTTACATGTATGATATACGCAGTAACACCTAAAGATACAATATTTTCAATCGGGAAGGTCATTATTACTCTCTCTCTGGACAATTAACACAGCTTCGGTTAGCGAGGTTAAAGTACTCGAATTTTTTAAAATTAAAATCAATCAGAATCAATTATTCAATGTTTACTTGCACAACTCTCTACAAGCTTTTATCGATATAAATTGTGTGATAGTTGATAGTAAAAGTTTTAAAGGAAAGCTATAGGTATTGTATGGATTTTTGGCACAATTAAATAAAAAAGATTTGTTACTTTTAATTTTTAGTTATCATTGAACAGATTTCATAGCAAGTCCTTCATTTTAACCCATATTGTAGGAAAGTCTAAAAAAAACTCATTCCGCCAATGGATTTAGACTGACGTCATATGGTTTTTCGAGTTAATCTTAGCAAGTCCTTTCATTTGCTACTCATATTGTAGGAGTGAATTAAAAATAACTCTATACGGATTTAGAATGACATCACACAGCTAACCAAAAAGTCTTCTGTGTGTACCTCAGTCTCATCTATTTGAGCCACCAGATAGCTTGTAAACTATTTCGGTTGTAGTGTACACTCAGTCTGTGAAATTACAGGGTAAAAAGCATAACATCGTAGTCCTCTGGTACCATGGGTGTCGCATAGCATGATTTCCGTGATTTACGATTACCGCTTACCATCACATGGATCGTCATCCAGTAGTATATCACTCATTCCTTTTATATTAAAAAAATATCCATACTAATATTATAAGTGCGAATATGACATGAAAAATTAATTTATGGGTGCGAAATAAGGGATAAAATTTTACGCAGCCGAAGACGTGGGTAAAACTAGTAAACATCTTGGAATCCTAATAAATTCCTAATTTAAATTCCATGTAGAATAGGACCAGGCGAAAATAGTCTTCTAAAACTAATTAAATGGAAAAGGTAATTATTCTTAACAAGTATGGAAAATTGTTTTACATTTTACCAGCATAATACTCATGAAACTGAACCACCTTCACCAAGACACCTAATGGAAATATGAGAAACAAAAATTAAAACTTTTGATATTAGATTGAACACGTGAGCAGGCTGCTTGTAAGGTTTCCATTTTACTTTAGGCTTTATTCAATTTCATGACTGCTGGCTCATTGGTTGCCGTAGTATACTCGTACAATTAACCCCGAATAACGTATATTTAAAATGGTGAAACATTTTTTTTGCAGTAGTGCTGGAGATTATATTCCATATGATTCCATCCCATATTCAAAAGATACGCATTATCTATTCATTCCAAAGGGGAAGAAAGGGCAGTTTGAAAAGTTTATATAGTTCAAATAATTAAATCCTGTAAGTCATCAATATTTTCATATTGTTCTCATTAAATGAGGCAATTAACGCAAGGAGTAGTGCGGCCCCACAAAATGAGGTCGACTAGTTAAAATAGCTTTAAGCACAACATAAAATATAGAAATGAATTTTATTCCCTTATAATCGAGGGTTTAGCTTACCCTTTAGATAACTTCAATAACACTGATTACCTAAAATAATAATAATTTGATAATAAACATTATTGTCATATTCTTATCAATTGAATACAGATTTGTAGAAATAATTGGACGAATTTAAAGGCACATATTTCATACCTATGCTAAAGCTATTTTGAATTCTTTATTGCACTCTAATACACAAGTTGTATATTATAATTTAAATATATAATGTTACAAATACTACTTATTTTCCATGGATATACTTATCGATGGAATAATAAGTATAAAAATAAGAGAGAAAATATATAAAATAATTATAGACTTCACGTCTTAGTCAACGCAAAGCCAGACAATTTGTCACAATGTAAGATTCAATCCTAACAACTCATTCACATAATGTTCACTTGTTTTTCGTTGTCAACAATCAATTAGTAAAGTTTATTTAGTCATGCTCCATAGAGAAATTTAATACTTTACTATGATGTGGACAGCTCTGCAAGTGATATTCTACAAGGTATAGTTATGTGAACTACAGTGGTTGTTAGAATGCCTATGGAAACATTACATTGTCAAATTGTCTAATTACCTCTTTACGGTGATAAGCATCAGGCTGCTCTTTATGCCATTTTTTCTGATTCCTTAGATGATTTTTGGATATATAATGCATCCGCGCTGCAAATAAATTCAAGCAGTCACACCATTAGAACAAATTAGTATGTATTAGATTACAGAAATTTAAAACCAAGTGGAGTTTTTTACTTACAGACAGAAATTGATTCCAATTTTGTGGTACAGATGCCACAATATTCAGGTTCCATGAGGTGCAAAATATCTCTTGGTGTATTTTTTAAAACATCTTTTGGTACACCCATACCTAGAAATGTAATAGTCATACATATAAATAGCAACCAACTACATTGTAGGTACTTAAATGTGCACTGAAACTTTATTATTACATTTTACAAAACAGCAGAAAACCTAGGATGTAGAAAACCACAAAATAAAGTCAATCACAACCTACAGACAGAAATAATAAATAGAAAATAGATGTAGTACTCAACATGTTTTCCCTTAGATTATTATATTCTAAAATCATATGCATAATACAATATAGCTTTAAATTAAACTTATAAAAGTTTGGTATACTTAGAACTATAGTTTGTTGAAAACCGAATAAATAAGTTATTAAAGATAATACATTACGTATAAGAAATCGATAAGTTTTATCTTCTACATTAAATTTACGTATGGGAGGTCCTCTTGGGCCAAAACCTCTACCCCACATAAATTGGGGATTTGGTCCCATTCCTGGTCCTGGTCCAAAATTAGGGCCTGGACCAAATAAGGGTGGAGGTCCATATCCTCCACCTGGGCCATATCCACCTCTATAATTTCCATAAGCATTTCTGTAATTATGTCGGTTATTTCTGAAAAAAAAAAGATATTATATATACTACCATTAGCCTCAGTTCTGCAATATTTTATTGCATCAGCATATTGAGTGCAGAATTATAATAATTAATCACTAAAAGAATTTAAATTTTGGATCAATTTAATTTATTTGTTTAAATTTATAATATTAGTATAGATATGTATTTAAAACATTTCTGGAAGTAATTTATGTTAATCTATATACATTAAATCTGTCTTTCTTAAAGCGAGAGGCTTTAACACATTGAATGTTTACAGATGTCCTAATTATGATGATCCTAATTTATAGATAATTTTTCAGAAACAAAGTACAAAACAAAACCATCAAAAGTAAATTAGAAGCCTGTCTATATTAATGCAATTATATTAGTGTAGTGTTAAATGACATAGACTAAAAAGATTAAAATATTTACCTAAAATTTCCTCCACCATTATTAAAACCCCGCCCTGGCCCAAAGTTACCAGGCTCAAAATTATTATCCATCATGTCAGGACCTTCATCCCATCCGTAACCATCATTCCCTGAATATGGACCAAATGGACCATCCATGATCCTAGAGCCATAAACAAAAGAAAATAAGATGTAACAATACATTAATGTTACTCTCATCTAAATGTTGAATTTATGACTACTTCAAAACTTTTATTTTTTTTATAGATGAAAATATCATGTTGCATCCTGCTGAGCAAATAGTATATGCTAAGGGCCACCAATGGAGGATAATAGGATGAGGATGAAGTCAAGTCAGTTGTCTTATTTTTGTTTAATTAACTACAATTATTTCCAGAACGAAAGTAGTCATCAGGTGTAACTACATGGAGGTTTACCAAACATGGTACATTGCTAGCAATATGGCCAATAGTCCCCATTATTGAGAACCTTCTCTTGCCCTATAATTAATCTATAGTGTGTATTCTCAAAAAACAATGCTTTGTAAAAATTTTCATTCTTTGTCTGGTGTTCCACTAATGTAAAGTGCTGTGCTAGCTATTGAATATCCTAGAGGCAGGCTTGCCTGGGACATATTGGATAATACACCTAGGAAAATGTAGAATTTGTTTATGAGACAAGTGAAGTAACAGTAAGTTGATGCAAATATGTAACTGATATATACACTATAAAAGCAGTGGCAGTTTAGAAATACAAGGATTTGAATGAGTGTAGGATTTCTGTAAAAAATATTGTAGAAGTAGTTAGGAAAAGATTATATGAAAATTGACAAACTGATGTTTTTAATCCATTATTTGATAATGTACTCTATTTACCCCTCTTTGTAACTTTTACATATTGAGTTGGTACCTAAAAAGATAAGTGTAGCTTATATATACTTTCTAAAAACAATTTTAAAATTATAAGTAGTCTTATGTGCGGTTATATATCAATACATTGAAACGTGAAACAGTACATTATTACAATACAATACACATGTTGTCTATGAGATAAACTTTCTTTGCATACATTATTCGATTATTACTATAGCAATCCTCATTCTCACCTAATTCGCAGAGTTCACTGTAACGATATTAGTACTTACCTAATTTCTGTTACTTAATACTTATATAAAAAAATTAATTTGTACATATACTATAGTGATGAAATATTAATCAATAACAGAAAATAAATAGACGAAAATTATTCAATTTACCACACAATTTCACACAAACACAACAAAATAAAACAGAAATGTAAGCGGCTATGAGTGTTGTCAGGTAACAGTTTAAGTTTCCTTCCCTTTTGTAAAAAATACATATTTTTGGAGTAAAATCATACGATAAAGAAAATTATCTACAATTAGTAATACCAGAGTATTTGCATACATAACGTGACTAATTAGTAATATATAAATATGTTTTTCTTGTTATTTTATAACAATCATAGCAGAATTTTAAAATTTTCGTCTCACCAAGCCTCTCTATTTTCCCCCATTGCTAAAAAAATCACCAAAAGTTATGATGAATACATCCAATCTATGGCAACAACTGAAACACTTTTTAATCTATGCGTTTTAAGACGGAGTCAGTCTTTTAGACTTCGTAAACAGGAACTATTATAATTTTGCTAAATATTTATAAAACTAAATTTAGATAAAATTATTTTAATATTATGTCCGTTAATTACGGGATTTGTCTCATATCTGGCAGTGGACTTTGTAAGATGTGTTTTAGTTGTAGGTTGAGACATGACAATAATATTTCTATATACATTTACATAAAGGTACGAAGGCATAATTCCTGCAGAAAAACTAAGCATGAAGTGTACTTACCACGAACGTCACATAATAACGTGATATCTATGACGCTTAAAAAACAAAAAGAATATAGAATTTAGTGGTACATACGGTTATAGTATACTGACTTCATGCTCTATGGTAGAAGTAATATGAAGTAAAAAAAAAAATAGTGCCGCTGTTCCATAGAGTTTTCGTCTTTCTTTTTCTTTCAATTGCAAGTTACTGTACGTGTAGGTACGTATTCTAAGTTTTATTTCTTAAATAAACTTATTTAATTTTATACAATCAATGTGATATCACAAAATTTTACTACACTTTTGATATTTCTTCTAGTTTTCCGTGTGGTCTCTACAATCAACTTCCACAATGGTTGCGGCGAAAAAACAGGTTGGTTTGATTTCAACACGTGCCAATAAAAGAATTACTAACTAAATGGACTTTTGGCATGGCTATCTATAATATTGATTATAAATAACCTCCACAATATTAAGTCCAATATTATTCGTTTCTTGATAGACTCGTAATTTATGTAATTTGCGGGGTTGAGAAAGTTTCGTACATGTGAGGTTATGAATTAGCTGAATTGGTACCTTTCAGATATGTAACCATACATTTCAATTTGTATTTTATTTAATAAAATGTAGTTATCTTGAGCTTGTTCTACGTTAATTTGAAATTATGATTCCCATAAATTCAGCAGAAATATCGATTTTTACCTTACAAGTTACCTACGTCTTTTATAATTTTCTACACTTTTCATATTTATGTGGAACTTTGAACTTACTAGCTTTGAGATATACGTAATCCATCATAAAATAATTAGTAATAGGAATGGAGCTAGTCCTGTTTTTGTACCCTAGCTTATATGTTTTCTGAACGTAAGAAATCATAATTAAATTAATATCTATTTCTTGTGGCATATAATGTTTATAATAATACAGGGTTACTTGTAAAGCTCTTAATACAGTTCATACTCAAACCTAAAACTATGTAGACATGATGTTAATTTTAATATACTTTAATTTAAAATTTTTTAATATGCAATGGGTTTATTTTCTATAGTATAGTATATGGCTTCATGACAAATCCTGAATATTACCTCATTACTATAATCAGCATATGATTTGCTATTCTGAATCCGATAATATATAAATAAATAGAACCTTCTATATGCAAGACTAAATTGCAATGATAAATGAAATATATGCCATTTATGCATAAAGCCACTTGGTGAAACCAAATTACTATTAGCAATGATAATGTAATTATAATTATTATTTTCCTTACAGAAAAAGACTATTGAGTCTATCAACTCACGTTTGGCGTTGGTTATGAAATCCGGCAAGTACTGCCTCGGATACAAACAAACCTTGAAGACTCTACGACAGGGCAAAGCTAAATTGGTCATCATTGCCAAGAATGCACCTCCACTAAGGTGAGACTACTGAGAAGTAGTGTTTCCCATTAACCGTTCAAAGGGAAGCATATGGAGTCTTTGGACAAAGAAGTATGGATTCCCTCTTAATGATCCAGCAATCGAGTAGTAATAACATATCTATGTAATCTCCTATTCAAAATGCCAGAATCTCTACTTAGGCATTATTACTATATTGTAGAGTTATTAATATATATTCCACTTCGCACAGAATAATACTACTTAAGGGCCATATATAAAACATGTTTTCAACTGTTGGTGAGGTTATGCATTAAATGCTAAATACATCATTATATGGTTTACATATAATGATGTGGTAGTACCATAATTAATACCTTAATGTTGAAATATAATTTTCAAACATTATCCTGACTGCCACACATTAACATGTTGAAATATAATTTTTAAACATTAGCCTGACCATCGCACATTACCATGTTGGTATCCAAACTGTTCATTGTTAGAGTTTAACTGAGTTATTTAGCTAGCAGACTATATAATAGCCCAGAAATTGTTTTTTATTGTCAATTTCAGTATTAAAATGTTGGCTAAGTAACACATATCTGTACATAAAATGAGTTGGTTATGATTCTGATGTACAAAAAATAACTATTTTAACTGTATTGCTGGATCATATTTATGGGAAACCTATGGAGTAGTCCTTAACCCATTTGCTGATCTTTGGTCAAATGAGTAAGTATTAGACTGGATTAATTAATAATAATGAAATAATTGCAGATAAGGTCAGTTTTTTCCACACTATAAAGTTCTTAGTTTTATTTTAAAGATTAAAATATTCAATGGTTAGGAACACAATACTAACAGATATCTAGAGAGTAATTAATGACTTAAACAATTAAAATCTTTATGATTACTTAATTGAAACACTGAGTAGGATTAAATACTGTAAAGTGAAATTGTAAATGTATATTGTAAAATACTAATGTTTCAGGAAATCTGAAATTGAGTATTACGCTCTCTTGGCGAAAACTGGTGTCCATCACTACAGCGGTAATAATATTGAACTTGGAACTGCCTGCGGAAAGTATTATCGAGTATGTACACTAGCAATCACTGATCCTGGTGATTCGGACATTATTACTTCACTACCTGAAGCCACGGCGTAGAAATAATAAAATTACTTATATAACAAACGCTTTTATTGTTTTCTTTTATAACATACGCTTTTATTGTTTTTTATATCATGTTGTATAGAATCAAACAGCAACATGGATGCAATATAAAAGTAACTTATATGACTGAAGCAATGTTTTTATTTGTTACATAAAAATAAAATCATTACACATATTTAAATACAAGACCATAGTATGTGAATGGGTGGTCTTGTATTTTCATATCATACTTTTCCTATAAATCGTATAGCCAGAAGTCCGTAGGTATGTCTGCAATTAAGTCTTCATTTTAGGGGAAAATAAAGAAAATATTTTAATACACCCATATATTTATTAATACCTATATTTTATTAATTTTGTGTTAATGCGTTTAAGACAAACATGCATACATTATTTCTGAATAAGCTATAAAAACGGGTCATTACCGATACCGACACAACCCTATTTATCAAGTTATGTCAATATTGTCTCCGGGATGGTGTTTCTGCGTCCATAGGTTACGGTAACAGTCTACTATCAGATGGGCCGTATGCTTGTTTGTACTACTACATGGTATAAAAAAGTCCGGGATTAAACAACAGACTAGACTAGGTACGACTATTATGGTCAAATCAGAACTTATATCTTGTACTCAAAAATAAACATGATTATATCAAACTTCTAGGACATACATTTTACACTATATTAATTAAAAATATATTGGAGTGAGATAACTCCAAACTAGATGCCGACGTAGCCGCTGAAATGTGCTTTAGCACGCTGGCGAACGGTTACTGTAGACGGTAACACGTATATTTCCTTCTTTTTGTCCTTATTTTGTTACTATCAATTCATAGAGCACAGAAATACTCTTATCTTATATATTAGGTATTTGTAATAATTATAAGTCGTAACAATTGTGTGTCTAATGTGGGTAAATGTGTTTTTGTCTTGTCCGTTATTATATTGAATATTACCAAGACGTGTTTTCTTTGTTCTTATATATTCCTAGTAATAGAAGGAATTATATTATGAAATAATTTATTATATATTATTCAATTTTCACCTTGAAGCAAAAGTATTTGGAACTATGCTTGCAACTGAAACCTAATTTAATAGGTAAAAATTACTTAGTAATGGTACTGAATAATACAAGTAGTAGTTTTCAAAATTTTTTTTATTGAAATAAATAAAATACCCCGGGGCTGATTAAGAAATATGTGCTCTAAGGGTCTGCAGCTACCGTCATGTGATGGTGAAATACACAGTTTGCATTACGAAACAGTAAAACTATATGTATATATGTACTTTGGCATACCCCACCAGTAAAGTAAAGCCATGGTAGAAAATCCTAATATCGACTGATATATTTTGAAAAATTCATTAATTGCGATGAGTTCCAGAGAAATCGCGAAGTTCGACTTAACAAATCTTCAATCCCCACTCCCCTTCCTTCTCTGTAAGTAAGGTATATTGCGTTCCAATAGAACTTACAGTAAAGGTAAACGGCGGATACAGGCTGTTTTCATTTTGGATCGCCTAACTTATTCCAAATCCTGTATATATACTGCTGTACTACTAATGTACTTTGGATCGTTCACACCAAGAATCTGAAAAAGTAATTATGTAATTATAATTGCTTAAATGTATTATATTCTGCGGGATGTCACGCGTTAGCACTTTGGATGATTATAGTTATATAACACTTTCTAAAAGTGATATTTTTCTGGTGTAGGTATTATTAATTTTAATTTGTAAAATATATGTTATACATTTAATGTGAGAACTAAAATTTAAATAATATCAAAGTTCATTATAAAAATGCGGTTTAGTTAAATAATTGTATTTTTTATTTATACATTGAGCTAAAATTTGTTCTGCGTATTTCTGCCGCCAAGCCGTTTCGGTTGAAGGGTGAATACGGCAGTGAAACTACAAGTAACATACATGACATCTTAGTCTCTGCGGAATGGCAACGCATAAGTGATAACATCAGACCACATTCATAATCAAAGACAATAATATCCTTGAATAAAATGTAAAATCTTTTGTTGTTTCGTAGAATTCTGTTGAGATGTAGAATCTGATAGTCAAAACAAGTTTTACGACCTACCTTAAATATTCTGCCATGTGACTGCGTGGATTCTTCTAAACCATTTATGTAATGCTGATTCGGTTTATGAAAATATTTGATAATTTTTTTCTCAATCATGTCTTTTCTTTCTTTCATCATCCATATTCTGAAATACAAAGAGAAATATTGAAATACCTATTGAACATTTATAATATTATTCCCTATATTAATTGTAAAATAATATTAGAAAAAGAAACAGAGAAAGAGTATGAGGTCAGTCCAATATGAAGCAACAAGTCGAAAAATAATAATGGACAGTATAATTCCTTTCATACATAAATCTTAAAATGCAACTTGTGTATCAATAATAATTTGTTTTGTCTTAAATGCCTACATTGGCGAAGGAATTTCTAGATCTAGTAGTTTATGTTGTAATTGGATAGATCTACTAATTGTTACATACTATGACTTCTCACAGTGACGAATGGCAAAACTGTTTGTTTATTAGCTTAATTATACACATAAAATATTTTATGTAGAATGTAATTGTGAGATAAGGCTTTAATGCAGTTGTTCTGTGACTATACTTTGTTTAAAAGTATGTTTTGATTCTAAACATTGATTTTGTTTTCTATTATCATTCTTACAATCTATATTTCCGCAGGTGTATCTCTTGTCCACACTGATGAATTGATCTTTTATAATTTTCTCTATTTTAATATAAGTAGAATACAATGTGTACTATTATTACTATACATTTATTACTATTGTGTGATCAGATAATTGTCAGAAGTTAACAATTTATACTTGTGTTAACACTCATACTACTTCGTATTCAAAATACATATTTTTAGAATTCGGATGGCGTTATTTGTAACGCAAAAACATATTTAGTGCATTTTTATATATATTGTCAGGCCTGTGGGCAAATTCATCGCATGATACCCTTCTTTTATTTTAGTAGTTTATTATGGAACATATGTTACATTATCTTGTGATAATAACGCTCAAAATGCGACCCCTTCACGAGCCTGTGTCTGTAGTATTTAGCTACTCTATTACACCATTGTATTACAGTATCAATCACTGTGGATTCTGCCTAGACATGCTTTCACATTTATGGGATTTAAACATATCATAAATTCTAGTCATACGTCCTACGTGTACAGTTAATTAACTGTTTAACGAAAATAAACTCCATTTCAGTGACGTTATTTATTAGTACATCTAGATCAGAAATTGACCATAACAGATCTTAAAAACTTTTAATTTACATCCAGAAGACTCCTACTAAATAAATAGGGTTTTTTATTATTACATTCATAATATTAAATTTAAAGACGAGAAGATTATTCTTTAATGTTCCAAACGATTATGACATTGAAATGTGTTCATTAAATAGTCAACAATATATTTGAAGACAGAAGTATTGTCATCATCACTTATTTTCTCTTAAACTTACTAAAATCAGTACGTGACGCTCCAATGTTTAATCCAGCTAAGTTTTTCAACTAGAAGATGATTGCATATTGCGAAAATGCATGGGCAATTTTAACACAGAAATACGTACAATAAACAATGAAGCCTAGCGTACTGATTACAGACAGAATCTTTACCAACGTTATACCAAAATTGCAAATGTGTACTAGAATTTGAAGATGAAAAAACCAGCAGTACTTGTGATCCTACTTACGTTATGGCGCTTATTTCAGAAACATCAATTATATTTGACATAATAAATTACGGAAATATGTTACCTGTTTGTTCATTAAGGTCTTATAATAAGTCTTCAAGTATATAGTACTGCAAAGTAAATTGCACAATTGAAAATCTCAGCCTCTCCACTTGACGATAATACCTTGATATCTACGATTTACCTTATTAATTCAATAAAAAATATAATTTATAAAAATAAAATTAGTCAACTTAGACAAATCAATCTGCAAATCAAAGTAATTAGATATGCTTTAATACTACCAATTGTAAACTACTTTCGTATTCCATTTTCTAAATATTTACTTTATTGTTAAGAACATCATTAATAACATATTTATATCAAGAATAATAGAAAATGGGCCCATTTTTCTTAATTTCTTTCATAATTAATAAATATTCACACATGCATTATTCAATTTTATATTCTTAAAGGTACCTTAGTAGAAGATTGTAATTATGCGCCCTGAACTTTATTAAAAATAGAATATGCTATTAAATAAATGAATACTTACACATTTACAATGAAATCAATCCTTTTAAAGTGGTAAAGCGCTACTTGTGTAAACAGTTTCGAGACTATATAGGCTATATTACCAATCTACCATTGTCTTTTATGCAGCGACTCAAATTACCCTTTCAGTTTTTTACAATACATAATCAGGTAATTCTGGCAATTGACCTATTACGATTAATTACTAAATCATATACCACCTGAAGTCGATTAATAGGAGGCTAATTGTATAAGGAATATTTTGTGCATACTTACGATCATTTTTAAAAAAATGTTTTGCACCTAAGAATAGTATGCAAATTGAAATAAGTTGTCTATAAATTAACGCCAATTAGAGGATATTTAAATTAGACACATATCTATATGCACCTTAGTTCTACCTTATTTGTAAAACAAACACTTAATTTTATACTATATATACTTAGGACATTGTTAATACCTTATAATTTCGTACCTAACCTGCAGAAAATACTTACTAAATAATTGGAATTCTAAATATCAGAAAATTTGCTTATCCTGCAAATTTATTGATAGTGTATTAGTATTATTATACTTATAGCCAATAAACTATATCAGAACATTTAACTACAGATATAGTTGAGTATATATAAAATATTGGATATAGTTTACTTGAAATATTAAAGATAAATGCAGAGGATTGTAATATCATTAATTTATTTCGAAAATTGTAATGTCTGCTGCGAAATTTTATGTACTGTTTTAATAAGGTTTTATATTGTTAATTATCATATATATGTATATATTTTTATACCAACCCTCAATACCAATCACCTGGTAGCTTTATTAAATTATAAAATAATTCTTGCAGAACTACACAAAATTATATACATATTGAGATCAATCATCAGTGTTTTATCATATTACCATAGTATGTTTGTGACCATCAAATAAATTACACAGTATCTTTCATAATTTTATTACGAATGGCATCTTAATATCTAAACATTGGTATTATTATATACCTTTTCATTATTCCGTTTGTATTATTTTTTTATTAATTACTCAATAAGTATTACAAATTTTTAATTTCTGAATTATAAAGTAAAAATTTGACATCAATACGAAAATACCATAAAAGTACAATTCATAATAAATTGTATACACTAGAATAAGTCTATTTACGATTAGTTGTCAAAAGATCTACTTATTAAAGTCACTGAATACTTTATGTATGTCATTAAATAAAATTAATCTAGCATCAAAGACTTTCATTCAAACCACCTAGCCTAAATTATCATAATAAATACTTTATGTCCCACATGCTTCATTAAATCGATCCAGCTATTATTGTGGTATATGGATGTAAATCATATTCTGTTATAGTCAAACAGATCACCAACTGCCTGTAATATAATGCAAACAAATATGTAATTACATATGATACATTTATTATTGTGATAAGGTATAATCACGCTCACGGTATTTTGAGAGAACCACTGTACCTTGATGACAATGGAATACCTTATGAGCTTATCTTAAAATAATTTATAACAATTATGCCTGCTTTTGAATTCATATTCTAATGAATACCTGCAATTTAGACTAAGATGTCTAAACCTTATGCTACACGTATATGCTGGGTTTATACATCATATAAGCTACAGAATAACAAATTATTATTATTATTGCCCTATAACTTACAATCTGTTTGAAGAAAACCCAATATGTTGACTACTAATTAGCACAGCGTGGATTAGCAGCAATGCCTATCGCCTAGTCTATGAAATACTATTTTTGTTGTTTGTGTATGTACCATATTTAGTATCAAAAGTTCGATTACGTATCGCAGTTGTGTGCATCACATCAATCTGTGTACACTGCCGGCAATGCTTATTTAACTAGTTTTGAATATAACGTATGATTTAATATGGCCTATACCATAAAGTTTTGCAATATGATTTATTCATTAATTTACTTTTCTATTACAACGTATCTATCTGTTCTAACAGGTATCAGTATAGGTAACCAGCATCATATTACTAATATAATTACTTAAAATTAATTTCTTAAATATCAATGTGTATTATATATGACTAAGAAATACCTGAAAATATTTTATGGGACGAGCGTTTAAGCGTCATTTATAAATTACTGTAGTAACTTTGTATGTACGTACATATTTACAGTGGATTTCATTAATAACGCTTTTATTGATAATCATTTTCCATGGGTAAGTAAATTCCATATGTAACATACTTGAATTATCGAAGATTTTTTTAATTTGAAACTAATTCTGGCTGATCTTTTGTTAAGTCACAATATTGTTAGCTACTTTTACACGACACGAGTGATCAGCTCGATTAACGGATAAAAGTCAACACGAACAAAACACTATGTGTGTGCGAGAATAAAAAAAAAAACACCATACAATAGTATCCTGCGTACAAATTGCAATACCTACAACTATCTGATGTAGTTTATTTGAAGTCCAGATCGATAATCGACTTGTAAAGGTCTCTAAGAAGTATTTATAACAGAAATGCACTGTGTAGAAGACCGAATATTACAAGATGACGGTAGAGTGGTGTTGTTATTATCACTGGCTTATATATATGTAATATTATTATTAGAATTGAAGTATCATAAGAGAAATTTCTTCCAAATAAATAATATATTTGTGATTGATTTAAAAATGAATCTTCAAAATTTTTTCAGTTATTTCACGATATTAATACATGGACTGTAATTGATAATCAGTATTCTAAGTGTACTTACCATAGTTGTTGTATTGAGTTTGAGGCTGTTGGTAAGAACTGTAGGAAGGTTGTGAATAAGAATCATAGGCAGGTGCCGCCCCACCGTAAGCCGGCTCCGCTACACCGTAACCGGCATCACCAGCGCCGCCTGGTGTGCTGTCACCATTTGATGAAAATGTTAATTTACTTAATTAATCTTTAAAACTATATATTTTAGTAAGAAAGTTCTCAAGTTGATAGATTTATGTATATGCAATAAATTCGCTAATTATAACTGAAAAAGTTCGAGTTTAAGAACACTTATCTATTATAGACGAAAGAAGGAGTTCTACATTGTAGCTGTATTGGTTGATCACTTCATTGTATTTTATATAAATCACAGATAAAATAAATAATTATTAAAGATCTAATTCAATGATTTATTTTTTTGGTTACTTACCCATAACTATCATTTTCGTAACCACCTTGTCCACCAGTAGAATAGCCATAGCTTGATCCATACCCACCAGAATTATATCCTGAGTTAGCCGGAGCGGGTGCCGGCGCGGGGTAAGTGTTGCTCTGATACGAACTATGAAAAAAAGTAGGATGTTTTAAATATTTTCACAAATAAAACAGAACACTGTATAGGCAACCTATTAATTCAGAATCTATATAATCTGCATTTATGTTGTCAGACGGCAATTCCTATCTTGATAGATAAAGGGTTCATCATTTAATTTGAATCATGAAAACTTCATATATACCTAACTATATTATTTTACATATAAAACATATTCATTTTACAAAAAGGTACCTTTGCTGCCACCCCACGATAAATCGGTGAAAAATTCGTAAACAAAAGCTAACAAGATTATTTTTTCAAATCTGAAAGTGTAGGCCATATTGGCATTCTGTATGAAGTTGACTTTTCTGTTATGCACTCAGTAGTATTCTCAAATAAAAGTAATACCAACCTTAATAGCTGCTGAATTTATAACTCACCTGGGTGTATTATAAGCTGGCTGTGCATAGGGATCTGGTGCTGGCTGTTCATATGGTTGGTATCCAGTGTGACTACAGAGATATAATATATTACATTAGAATTTTAAGAGAAAAATCAATGTACACCGGTGATAATTGCTAGTTATTTCAGATAAGTGATATCGTCAGATAAGTATCAGACGGCACATTCCTATCGTGTTTCTGGATCATCATTAAAGAATATATAAGACATGACTAGTGTACATATAAGGTAAACCTTATTGTAGTATATATAGTCTGTGGCATAATTAATATTGTTCATAACGTACTCTGTGCAGTTGACAGAGCCTGTTTGTAAAAATGGCGGGAACGGCCTAATTAAATGTGAAGCGCAATTTAGCATTTTATTTATTTAAATATTTAAATACAGTACAAGGGATCTGGTGCTGGCTGTTCATATGGTTGGTATCCAGTGTGACTACAGAGATATAATATATTACATTAGAATTTTAAGAGAAAAATCAATGTACACCGGTGATAATTGCTAGTTATTTCAGATAAGTGATATCGTCAGATAAGTATTCCTTCATTAATATCCTCTTCATCTAGCAAATTGGTGACTATCATTTTAGTAAAACAAAATCTATCCATCGAAACATGATTATTGATTCCTATTCATTTTGGTTAACACTAATCTGGCTAAGATTAGTGGGCCCTTTGCTTACTATTTCTGTAAGTTCCATTAGAATGGAGAATACTTACAGTAATAAACAAGTTCACTTTGACAATATAAACATACATATATATTAAACATATATATAATTCTATAATACAATGTATTAACTTACGAAGGTCCATAACCATTTGGTGGAACTTGGGGGTTGTGTTGGAGTGGCACCTGTTGGTAGCCACCAGGTTGTGGTGCACGGCCTCCGCCTCCCCCTCGTGGACCTTCATACCTGTAATCATTATTATTATTTATTTTTATTATCTTTTCATATCTTGCAATCAGCTCACCAAGCCTTTAACAGATTTGTTGTGGGATTGTTGATGGGAGAGATCTGTACCTCCAGTGAGGAAACTGTCTCATTTCAACTTTACATGTTCCTCATCAGTGAATAAAATACCCTGTATGGAGTCTTTTAAGCCTGGTTGCACTGCCCCAGAAAAGCTGTGCAACCAAGCTAGTCCAATTGTTGTTCCAAGCATTCAGAAATCCATTATGAAGTGCATCCCTTGTAGTGTTCTAGATGTAGTTAGGAATCTACTATGCGCTAATAGTTAGTTTTATTTTTGGTAATAAATTGTTTTGGCAACCAATAAAAAAAATATTTGTTGATAGAAGATATTTACCTTCCACGCTTTGGTGGCCCACCTGGACCTCCATGAGGTGGTCCACCTCCTCTCTTGAAGGGCGGGCCTGATTGGGACTGGTGAGGGGGAACAGTTGGAACAACAGCTGGTGCTCCTGGCGCTACATGTGGCGGTTGCCGAACTACCGGACCTGGGCCACCAGGGGGAAGTCCTGCTTGAAGGTGTGGCCCCGGTCCACCTGGACCTCCTGGCTGTGGACCACCTGGTGGTCCATGTCCACCACGACCTCCGCGACCTTGAACAGATCATTAAATGTCAATATAGTTATGATGGGATGGGGAATGTGATATCTTAGGATATGGTATCTTCAATGTGCTTCTCCTGGAAACCATTGTGGTTAATTTAATACCCATTGGGTTAACTGATCCAACATTCAACATCATGTACATTATGATGCTATTGCACAACACATTCACACAACTAAGAAAATTTATAGTAAGTTATTTATTATTGCCATGTCATCTTATACTGAATGCTTACCTCTCATGGGCATCCCACCACGGCCACCCCTATCACCACGAGGTCCAAAATCACCTCTACCTCTGCCTCCTCTTCCTCGCATACCACCAGGACCACCTCTATTGTTAAACCCTCCTCCTAAAAATACAAATTAACTTACATAGTCTTTCAAAACAGAATAAACAGATATTACTTGTAATATCATTGGTTCTATAGTATTTATAATATTCCCAACCAAGTGACAGCTACCCCTTTTCATACAAAAGATTTTAACAGAATTGTACTTCTTGCAATAGCCAATATTAATTCATTCTTTTTATAAAAGTATACTAAAAATAACTACATTTGCAAGCTCGGAACAAACCTTGGATTGGAGAACAGTTATTTTTTAGGAAACTTGAAATAATTAACCATAATGTATAATTATCATAGTAGGATATACTGTTAAATAATTTTATTTTGTATAACAGTACTAAATATATTAAATTTAAATATATTTGATCTGTTCATGTTAAAAATTGTGACAGATAATATTATAACATATTTCAATATTATGTATTTATAATTCCTGTAATCATTCTTCTGTATACATATTTGTAACCTACCTCCGCCGAAGCAAAAAACCTGATTTAGATTATTTTTGTGTATACACAATTTTTAAAACTATTACAGTTAATATAATAGTGATCATACTTTGTGGAGGTCCTCCTCTTGATTCTATTGTAGGCACAGGATGAGGACCAGGGCCTTGTGGTCCAGGTGGAAAACTACGGCCACCTCTATCACCTCCGCCACCTCTCATAGGTCCTCCTCGGAAGCCTCGTGGCCCGCCGCGTGGAGGACCACCTCGTGGCGGCCCGCCTCGTCCTCTCATACCAGGTCCTCCACTATAAACATAAAAAAATATTAGAATCCAATTATTACATGAGAGTGAGCAAGTACTTATTGCTCACCTTTTCACCCCCCTTAACGGTAGGAAGGCGATTGTTAGCAATGTGGGCTAATAAACCCATTGATATCATTTACCATGTACAGTACATAGTTTTAAGACAACCTCCACGAGATTCCCACTGGAAACCATCGTGATAAATTGCCATTTTCCAAGCTGGGCTGTCAGTTATGACATGACATGATGCTCATTTTATTATCCTCCACTGGTGCCCTTTTAGCACGGATAGATGGATTCATATTATACCTTAATATAAAAGTAGGTACTTACCGTCCCCGCATATCAAATCCTCCTCTTCCTCTCGGACCAGGAGGTCCACCACGTCCACCGCCGCGAAAACCGCGGCCTGGTCCATCCATATTTAGTTGATATCAAAAAATTACTAAGTTTAGTAAATTCTTATAATAATCGATACAATCATATGAATTTAAAAACATAAAATATTTAAGTGTGATAGTAGGTGACGCGATGGGCTAAAACAATGAACATGGACTTAATATAAGATAGGTTATGAATGCGTTAACCGGCAATGGCCGGCAGTAGAAAAAGAGAATTCAGAAAGCGTGGGTAACGGCACTAGTCGAGAGAGGACGCGCGAACAAAATGGCCAACCAACCAAAAGTAAAATAAACTATTTTTATAATATATAATGTTTCTTATGGCTTTAGATGCAAATTTCTTTGAGGCTAAAATTAGCTAACGAAAGTATAGAAGCCCGTAATAAAATAACTAATGGGAACAAAACTAAGATATAATTCTGATTGAAACAGCTGTAATATTAAATGTATGATATATTGTTTTTTTTTAATTAAATGAGTAATAAAAATATTTATTATTTGCTTTGGCTTTGGAATGGGTCTATCATATGAGAGGGGTGAATTTGATGACTTTGCCAACGTCGCCGTTAGGGAGAATCAGGCAGTGTTGGCAACACTGCCTAATTTACACATGACTTATACAAAATTTGCTAAACTGGTGTTAAAATTTTGCCAAAATATGCAAATATTTTTCAATGTCAAATATAACGGCATATAATTTTTATCTTTACTGATCAACAAAAATTAAATTATTTGTTTTTTGTTGTGATCAATCATGTCATCAAAAGGACTCAGCCCATACAGCCATAATGAAACTTTGAGTTGTCACTATGACAGTGACGTTTCTTTGTTTACATTTCAGGTTTTAATTCCATATTAGTTTTTGCATTACTATCAGATTATCAATATTTAACATTATGCAGCATGACCAAGAAAAGGTATTAAAGTATCTTATTTCAGCAGAGAAATTAGCTGAAGAAATATTGTGTGATAGGCGTGAAATTGTAATGTTGGATAAAAGAAGAAATCAAAATCGCGAGGCCTTAAGAAACCTCACAAAATCAATGCAGAAAAACTGTTGGCTTACTGTAGGTTCAGTACTAATAAAACATAACGTGGAAGCATCAAGATGCCTTCTCGAAGAAGATCAAAAACAATTAGATGTAGATATAAATAAGCTACAATGTGGACTAAAAGTAAAAGTAAATAATCTTAGAGATTTGGAAATGCAACCACCAATACCCGGTTTAATGTTAGTACCTATGTCATCAAAGGAAACTGAAGGATTATCAAAAGCTGGAATCATTCCTTAACATACACAATGTCAATATGAATGATGAATGCATGAATATGACTCGTATAACAATCATTTTGATCTGCACATGAACATATTGTAAATAGGATGGATATCCTGGCCAGGAAGGTAGGGTTGTGCCGAAGTTCTTTCATAGTCCCTTGTTTACTTCATTTGGAAATAAGAGAAAGCAGCAGCAGATTAAATATTAAAATGATAAAGTTTACATGATGACATTAGAAAAATTCCTGAGATATTTGAAGTGACATATTCTATAAAAATGTACAAACAACTAATTCTATGATGGTCAGCATTGTACTTCCAACAACTTCACTTACAAGGATAATAATAGTCTAAGGTACAGTAAAAAAATAAGAAATATGAATGTTTTGGATATGACATATACAAATTATAAATTCTGCACAATTATTTGTAAATAAAAATGCCTAAGGCCTTTTTTATAACATTAAATTTTAAAATATGACAATGATGCATTTTGTTTTTTTTCTTTTAAACATTAAAATCTAGAAATGTGACTAAAAATATTAAAAACACAAATGTTTTATTATCACTTTTTGGGGTAATGATAAATAAAACAAATTTTTACTAACATAAACTTTGTAAAATATCATCTACATGATAGCTCAGTCTCACCCATTTCAGCTTTGTAACCTGATTTGGTTAAGGGGTAAGATAAAGCAATGAAATTACAGGATAAGGGATATGATATCTTAGTCCTACAAATTAATAACATAAAAGCATGAGTATTCTCATGGTTGTCACATGATAGTGGTATGTCCATAGTGCTGTTCATATATAGGCGACAGTTAGTACTTACCATTAGTGGTCCCAACTACTTGTGGTATTTCTAATTAGAAATAAAGTTACTTGTTATCCTTAAGACACATGTTCCTACAGTAGCAATTGTAGATTGTAAGTGTTCATGCACTGTTACATCTTTACATAAAATTGCTGCCACTGTATGTTCACTTAAATCTTTCAAACTATAATTAATGCAATTTTTAGCAATAGAGTGATTCAAGAGGATGTTTTACATGTATAACACATGTAAGTATAATAATTTGTAGGTATATGATAGGCCCTTGGGACACTGTTGTTTACTAGAAATTGGGTCTGTGGGCACCATTTGTAATATATTCAACAGCATTTCAGCAAACAATGAGTCTTGATAAATTTCATGAAAACAAATTATTCCTTATGATTTTGTAAGCTATATAGTATTGATGATACATATTATGATGTAGGTAGATTAGAAACACAGGCAATTTTTAAATATTTTATTTCACTAAGATATTTTTGAAATAAAAAGTCATCAAATATATAATTTTCAATATGCACAGTTACATCTTTATACATGTAAATAATATAGTACATAATAACAAATAAATAATAAATAGTACCAAATTTTAGGATTTATCCATTTAAAAATGTTTGGTGTAGTAATTATAATACAATGTGACTCCACTAAATGCCAATTTATAAAAGTAGGTAGCCTTAAAAATTCGAGGATTAAATTTACATTACCTAAATTGTGTAAAAATTGTCAATAATTGTAATTAAATAGTATTTAAAATGTGTCGGACATGGCATTGCTGCTGAATTGCAAACCTAAATGTTATTTTGTAACCAATTACACTTCACCCAACTAGCTTATCATTACAAACGATATAATAATTATGGCATATATGAATTAATAGCTTGAATTATATTTTCTTTAAGAAATAAACAATTGCAACATAATATAAAACTTAAGCAGTATTTAACTTACTTATATTTGTCAATATCAAAATATTTATCCTAAAGGTTATTGCTTAATATTACAATATTTATCAGGATTTCAAATTGTAATTATACAGTACAAAATGGTACCATTCAATTCAATAAAAGTCGGTCCTCAAACACTAGACTGTAATAATATTTTGTGGATTGTCTTTTGAGCACATTATAAATCTGCCACTATCACAAGTCTTTGAATTACGAATGGCCAGACAATTTAACTTTTGTAACATTGATTGATTGGCTTAATTACTGGCATGTTATTGTACAGTAATGACATGTACATTACAGGAGTTAACATTGCGTACATTGCAGACTTACATCACAGTTCGCAGACGCTCCAGACATTGGTAGCCCCTGACACTACCAATTAGCCATGCCAGGTTTGTTGAGCGTCATGAAATATATCTGACAAGACGAGCCACCTTTGGCAGATGAGAAAAATACTTTATCATTGCGTTCACATAGAAACTTGAGTCGTTGAGCTTTCTTGTGCATAAAGACGCCGTCAAGGTGACCACTCTCGACAGAACGGATTTCTATAGCTTTGTTACCCCAACCCATTATTTGACCTGTTCCGATGTAGGCAACTGACGTAGGCATTTCACCCCACTGGAAGAATTAAGTATATAATTAGTGAATGGAATTAGGAAAAAGAAGTACATACAAAAAAATATTGCAATTCAATTAACATTCATTGATACACAAAGCTATATATGTTTAATCTAGTCATTTATTTTATTAATTATATTTAAATAAACCAATTAGTAAATAGATGTTACTTACTTGAAGTACTATATTTTTGCTAACTCGCCCATTGGTGTTTACGTAAACACCCTCATTATCATAGCATAGTAACAACTGGACACCATTTGAATTTGGAAGAGGTACAATACAATGAGGAGTAATTGCTCCTTGTGTCTGGAAATTATAATAACATTCAAGTTCCATATACTATAAACAAGTCAAATAGTCTATGAATGTTATAAATTTTTGTCATATGTATTAATGAGTGGGATAATTGGCCATACAAGGGTCATATATGGCCGCCATTCGCAAGGAATGAAATTGTCAAGAAAAATATCTAATTGATAATTAAGAGTTGGTAGTCGTAAGTTTGTTTATTAGAGGTTTCATGAGCCACTACATTTATTTTTTAATAGGATTCAAAAAAGGCTTTAGTAATAAATATTGTCTATCTATTTACGCACTTATCAATAATAAAAGTGGGTCCGTTTCTGTAAGCGGTTATAGGCAAGCAGGTAATAGTAACTCCGAGGGTTATTCATTTAGTAGAATATATGTAATGTTCATGACATGAGGTATTTTCAAAACTTTTTGTTTAAAAAACATTTTAATTCAAAACAGCAATATTTGATTATCAGTCTTTGTAAAACTGAATCTTTGTATATACATTTGTAATTGGGATTTTAGTTAAACATGATTTTGTGGCTTCAGTAGTTATATTAATATCCGTTATATACACAAATATATAACCGTCTACTATATATGGTATACAGATATAATTGTAAATTTTACTTACATGTTTTGGAATATAAATATCATAGACTGTGGCAGTGTCTAGGTCGACAGCATGAAATCCATCTGCAGACCCATAAATAACTTTCAGTCTTGTTCCTTCTTCAATAGTAAGATCTACTAAAAGAGGCCTGAAACGATAGTTTAAATTTTGTAAAATTAGTATAATAAGAAGAAATGTTATATTTGATTAATATGATTTTATCTAGTAATCTTTTACCTATGTTGCAAATCCCCAAAGTTTTTGAATGCCATAAATTTGTGATACGGTTTGGGCGCCCACGCATATATTTCAATTGAGTCCTTAAGTGCAATCACAAGAAACTTAATTCTTTCGTATTTAACAATTCGGAAATGAACAGCCCCTTGAAGTTCACCCACGTTAATCCAGCCATTTCTTCTTTCTACTTGCTGTAATAGATAAATAAAAATATAGTACATATAATTGTATGTAATGTAACATACAATTGGAACATAAGATGTTAGTAAATTATCTACTTACGTCACTAAGACCATCGGTGCGTAAAATTTTTGATTTAAGCCAGCTAAGATAGTATACACGAACGCGATTCTTCTTTCCTGATACCGTCACTAAAATATTTTGCCCTTCTAAAACCTCCATTTGCTGGAAGCGGCGCCGTGATATTAGTTGGTAAACCTTGCCTTGACCTGAACGATCTAATAGCATCAAACCATTTTCAGTGCCGATGAGTAAATTAACGCCTAAAAAAATTTATACATATTACACTATTTATTTATATGTTTAATATTAAATATTATTGAAATTATGATACAGATCACATGTCTATTATTATAAAATTAATCTCTTTAAATTACTATCGGGGGAAGAAGTCAAATTACGCCGCATACGCGTCCAGTCTGCATAATGGGTGTTTGTGTGAACAAATTAATAAAGAGGGCGTAGCGAGATATTTGTGTAAAGATAGGTGTGCTTTGGCAGTCAGATTATGATAATGTAAATACTAACCCCATAATGCCGCGCAGAGGATCTCAGAGTTGAATCGCTTCTTATATTTTCGAATCTCGGGTGTGTCAGAAGAAAGGTCATGTCCAGTGGGCGTGACATTGACATTGACGTGGCTTTCGCGGCGTGAAGCGTTTCCGCCGGAGCCACCGGTGCCGGTGGAGCCCGCACCGAAACCAAACGTAAGGAACGATCGCTGCTTCTGTTGTAAGGGGAGGAACTGTTGCGAACCCACCGACGAGTTGGATGGCGATTGTTGTAGCGAATGCGGAGAACCCGCCAGGAACGACTTGGATGGGGTGGACTGGACTGAGGACGAAGGCGGGGGATGGTGGTGGTGATGATGGTGCGGGGCCAGGGGCGTGCCTCCGGCAATCGCTTGCCTATACTGTAACAGATAAAATAGACAATGTAAGTAATTTCATATTTAAATATTACACACAAGAGACAAATATTTTAGACTGTTTTTGCTGCAAATATATTGCACAACTAAAAATTTTATTATATTCTGATAATTTAAATCGCAAATAAAATATTCTTTTGTAATATATATTTTTTTTTTATTGACACAGATTTCCATATAAAAATTGGTTTGTTAGTCAAGTCCATCGCCCAAAGATTAGTTGACATTTCAAATGTGGCTGGAAAGTTATTTGTTTAATGACTCATGATCATGGCATGAATCGTGATATATACCATATGACGTACGTGATGCAGGCAATGATTTTACTATTATTGTCATTCGCTTTAAAAGCGTTGTCGCATTCAAATGGTTTGTTTAATAGTTTGAGGTTGATAGTTAGTATTGTAATTTCTATTAGCTTTGTTTACTCTCTATTTTAAAATATTTTATTAATATGACTTCTATATTGTTTATTTAAAATAATGAAATGAAGAAATAGACTTATTACTTATAACTGTAAACATTTTTCAAATAAGTTAAATATCAAGCTCTATTTTACAAGAATCCATTTGGCCCAGTCAGTTACTAGAAATTTATTTATAGCGTATACACATTGTTTAGAAGCAATAAATGGGATTTGTAACAAAAGCTATCGCGAAAATTGGTATTGACCCGTTGGACCAGCGGTTACTGTGGCTACAAAGCTACCTCAAAATCCTGGTCTACCTGCGCCGAAGTCCAGTACGCTATTATTACTCTAATAGTTGGGTATAGGTGAAAGCAAGAAAATGGATATATAAGAAGAAATGATACATGTCTAAATTTTAACAAACAACAAACTATGAGAACCTTTACAGAAGCATGTCCTCTTGCACAACTCGATTAATACTTACGCAATTGTATCGGGTGTCTGCGAACTGGTCGCGGATCGTGGCTCCCGGACGTTTGCATGATCGACAACGATTATCACAATTAATACGATAAACCAAAAGCTGGCCACCACACGTGATTCTGAGTTAAGAGCTTCTAATACATTGTCGTTATACATATCCCATCAATTAAAAGAGTGTTTACAATAATTATAAGTTACACACATGTATGTAATAATTATTTCATATAAAATATATAAAATCACGAGTTATTTATTAGGCTTATTTAATGGTATTAGAAGCTCCATATTGTGTTATATACGATACGATATAAGGAATGTTTTTATGAAATCACTTTATAATTAATTACCCACGTTAAAAGCTTATATCATATTGACTCTACGCTATATTTGTTAAGCACGGTGAATATGGCCACATCCCACAATAACATGAGTTTTGTAGTGAAATAATGCTATCTCCGCAATAAAATCTTAAAATGATAAGGAATATGTATTCTCATAATAAGTATTGTGTCAATATTTGGCACATTTAAACATATACATGTATCATTACACCATTTATTTTCATTTGACAGAACATTCAGTAAGACCCTAATGAATAATTGATTTACCTGTGTGTCTATTATATTGGTATAAACATTTAATTTAAGAAATATTGAATAGGATCACATAGCGTTACTTAGACCCAAAGTAAGGTGAGTGTAGACTATGTGATGTCTTGATAAAGATAAGATATACCTAAAAACATTTTTTTAAAAGCACGACATAGGTATAATACAAACAGACATACTTATAAATACAAATTACTATATTATCGGATATAAAATATGCGTATTTTTATATACGTTATTGATTAACGATGCGATACGACGATTGACTTCACTTCATATAAGTATGTGGACAGTCACTTATGAACAAAGAAATGTATTATACCGCGATAATTATGTAAAGATAAATTTATCACTAACAAAAAGTTCTTACTTAGTTTTAATATTATTTCAAATAAGTTGTTATAGTATGTAGATATTTACATAATAATTGAAATCCATTATTTTAGATAATCGTCAAGTAGACATTGTATGTATCAAATATGTGCCAAAAACAACAACACAATCTACTATTATCCATTTATAACTAAGTTACTTAAATACTCATTATAATAAATAACTATCCAATGAAGTTTCGATGTGGCAAAAGAAACAAAAATAATAGAGCTATGTAAGTATTAATCTAAAGTAGGTATTGCATAAAAATGATATTACCTCCTCACTGGTGGATTTGTCGTGTCTGGGTGGAGTGGCGGGCTGTCCGGCCTGGCTTAGCAAGTCTGGCAGTACCGAGCTGGTGCGAGCGCCACCGCTGCCTTCACTTTGACGACCCTTTACATAACACAGCCTTTGTAAGCACCTCTGTAGTGCAATGATGTCTACGGTACCGTCTATCAACAGGCAGCTGTTTCACAATTTAGTAGCAGAGTAATTTAATATTTTAACAGCAGAATAACACAATAGATTCGCTTATGATCTGTTGCGAATATTAAAAGCATACTTTAAAATGATAGATTCTAAAGCAAAATATTTGTTTTAAGTAGATATATCCAAATAATCAAACTAAGATCTCAAAATAAACACACTTCATATCAGGATCTATCTGAAAATTAACGTTGTATTCCTGTATCAGCAGTTAATATCGAGCATAAGTAGTAGTATAATTAAATAAAAATAAACAGAGCGTGACAACACAAACACTGCAGCCAAACATGCAATAACACACATTCACAAACGCCATTATTTTCTTTTCAGGTCCTATAATAATATCGTTAGAATTTCATTCCCGAATTGGTTAATTTTTGGCACAAGTTTTTACTTATCATTATGGAGATGTCTCATATATCGGCAGGAAGTCGGTAACCGCACACGGTTTTAGTACTCGTGGATAATAAGATGGAGTCAGTACTAGGCATATGTTAATACTAATGAAGCTGTTATAAATAGATCTTATAAATATTAATGCCGTCTACATTGTGTACATATTAAATTAACACTGTTTAGAACTTTCAAAATACATATAATATTTTTTTAAATAAATAAGAATATATACATGTAATTTTTATTATAATCATGGGTAACCAAATCACGCCAAAATGTAAGATGCGTGAGCAATAATATCCATTCACCATTAATTTAATTTAACTTATGATATTATGTAGTTTTAAAATCTATATGAACTAGTGAAACTCATTAGTGTAAATATATTTCAAAATTATATAAAATGTACAAAAGCTGTTAACCATTACCATACATATTTAACAATCCAGAACCAATAGAATATTAAACCGTTTTAAAATAAAAGCATTGGCAATACCTCAAATGTTAGTCAATCTATAGTTAGGAAGAACAACCCACATACCAATTGTAAGTAGGAAAATATTAAATGAACTATCCTGAGCAGGGAGCAATTTACCTGATCCTGTGCGAGTACCGCTTCCTGCCCACTCGACATAAGCTCTGAGTGCCGATTATAAAGGGAATTTCTTCGATATACTATATCAGATTCAGTCTTTTCTCTGCGTGGCTTCACAACACCATTAGTATCAGTAATGCTCTCAGTCGCAGCCTTGTTCTCTAGCGTGCTCGCCGTTAGATCCGGGGTGCCAGCCTTCTCGAATGAAGCACTGCTCGAAAAGCAGATACTCGTCGCGGGGGAGTCACTGTTTACGCTACTCTGTCGGCTCGGTCCATTACTCTCACTGTCCTGCCTGATAAGTGCTGCCACATTCTTCAGAGCATCTATGGGATTATTGCCTGTTTTTTGGTCATTAGTCTTCTTATCACTTTTCTTTTCATCTTGTACTTGTTTTTTGAGACTGTCATTCATTTTTATAAAGTCTGTCAATATAGGTTCTCCAGTAGCCGGCGATTTCATATTTTGCTTACGAGAGTTATTAAAAAATCCACTGGATCTGAGTTGTTTAGAAGCACTTTGGTTGTCGTGTTTTGGAAAGTAAATGGCCGAGTGACGAGTACTAGGTAATGGAAAGAAATCAGAGTTTTCTCTTCTAAATCCTCTAAAGAATCTATTCGGAGAACTTATCTCTGTGTCTTGTTCTTTTTTATACTTTAACAGGTCAGACAACTTTTCTTGTGTCGACCTTTCATTGGGTTTTTGGAATAACTGTTTGTGACGAGAGGGTGGAGTCGCAATAGCTTTGTATTTAGCCCAGGCATCCTCCATTTCTATTCTGGACTGAGATTGTATTTGTGCTTGTTTACGTTCGGCCTCTTTCTGTACGTTCGATTTCTCTTCCATAACTCCGCTGCTTCTCGACGGGAAGAATCTAGCGAAGTCCCAATCTCTAAGTAGTACGGCCTCGTCAACGTCGGACTGTCTTTTATCGTTTTCAGAGCCTTCTCTCTGGTGTTTGTCAAACATGCCCGATACAAAAAGTACAAATAAATAATAAGAAAATTAACATAAAAAAGGTGCTCACAAATCTTATTTTGGCGTGAAAACAGTTTTAATCTAAAAATAACCTAGAGAATTCAGAATGTCACGCTATTTTTTAGAAAACTAAACACTGATATTAATCGATAACCCTGTAGCTACTACGTTTGTATTGTTTAAATTGATTTTAAAATGAGTAATATTGCATATGAAAATACATAATTAGCAGTTACAGAGACACCGCAAGCGTGTTTTATTATGTTTATGATGATAACGGAGGTTTTGAAATCACGTTTGTGAAGACTCACCCTCTTCATGACGAGAGTCCTGTCGCCGTGGTCGTCGTCGTCGGGCGTGGGCGGCAGGGGCCGCGTGGGGGCTCCGCCCGCGCCGCCTCCGCCGCCGGCGCCCGCGTCCTCCGACACCGCGCTCAGCCCTGGCCTGTAGCAGAACTCGGGACTGACAAGCCAAATCAAAACAAGAGGAAGGGAAGGGGTATAAAATAATTTAAATAAAGTCATAACGTAATAGGCAAATAAAAATAAAAATGTAATGAATATTAGATATATACAAAATGATAATGAAAGTATATAATAAAAACACCTGTAGAGGCAATTATGGAATGGAATAATGATAGTTGCTATATATAGTTACAGTTTGATAAAATTACTAAATACAATCATATTACGGTTATATTTTAGTATATTAAAGAAATACAGAAATTTTTAATATACATGTTACACACATAGTAACAATCATAGCGAATCTTGTTTTCACACGACAGAGTATAAAATAATCAAATAGTAACAATACTTTGTTCTAGATAAGAAGGTTTCATGTTATTTGATTAATGACAGATGATCATTTAAATAGCCACTACGAGGCTAGATTACTAAATTATAAAGTGTGCAAAAAGAATGTATAATCTTTTGACGGAATATGGGGAGGTAGAATCATTTAATTTTTCTGTGAATCCCTGACTATGCATTAGATCCTTCAGTATTTGAAAGTCATCTTTATAAATCCCAACCAACCAACCAATCCGATTGTAGTACACTTACTGATTGCGGATATACAAGGAACAGAAAAAAATCTTTATAAATCATTTTAAGGCTAACAGTTATAGTAACCAAACCCACACATTTAGATGTTCTTTCCATTATTTATTATTATAAGCGGTCAGCAAGTGTACTCATTATAAGTAAACATACTACCTGATAACTGATATGGCTATAGACATGTATGTACAGTACAATGCAAAATCTATAATTAATTTAATAATTACGAATTTATATGCGGTATTTGGTTCAAATCCATACATACACGTCAGGTTTCTTCCTTATTGTGTAGACTGACTTCCATTATGCTACCAAACAACAACAAGCAGGAGTATATGATGTTATTGCATATTAAATTCTTAATCATTATAACTTACAGAGGTTTGGGCGGATCACTGGCCAATAATGTGCCATCGTTGCGCACCCTGCCGCCGCTCTCTTCGGCTTCTGAATCGCTGTCCGAGTCTTCAAATGTAGGCTCCGGAGGATTTCTCTCCACCGGTGGTCCTGTACGGTTTCCCATATTTACAAAATCAACATTATATGTATTCTATAAAGTTAAAATGTTAAAAAATGAATATTAGGCTGGCCTTTTAAGTATAACGATTTTAACCAATACTGTCATCCACTACATCGATTGTAACTAGAAAATAGAATATGTTATAAAAAATACTTCAGAATATTTGTGTGGATATTAATGTTATTTACTAAGTTTTATACAAAATAATATTTCAGCCCGGAAGATGTCCACTGCTGAATAAAGGCCTCCCCCAAAATAATATTTATATGTATTAGGGTAATTCTCATGAAATCCCGAAATTCGGAAATAAAAAATTATTGTCATTAATTTGCATTTATGGATATTTTAGTACTGATGTCGCCATAAATTAATTACATCGTGGTCCCCAGAATATGATATACCTGTATTATGAGGAAATAAAAAAAAATAAAAGTGAGGGAGAGAACTTCGAGAACCTTTGAAATGTAAATTATTTTTAATTTAAAATAATATTTTTACATTTGTATAGTAATATTATTTTCTTAAACCAGTAAGAACTATTACTGATCAGAAAATCAGAGAAAACCACGTAACTATTGAAATAGTCGTATTGCAATAGTTTCGTGGTTTTCTAATTAAATAATAATATTTGTTTACTTAAGAATTAATTTAACTGACATTATAGCAATGTACTTACTTATAAAGAAGAAAATTCGTTTTAAAGAAAATAAAAAATAAGTCTTAGAACAGAATTGACGCAATATAAATTACTCTCTTCTAACCACCTTTTTAGTCCTATTCAGTCTCAAACAGTCTTAAACTAGTTAGATTTTTACCTAGTCTAATCTACTACATATTTTCCTTTTGGGAAAACATCTTTACGGAATATCATCTCTGTTCTGTCTTTGACAGTATTTGAATTTGAACTAATGTCGCAACAGCAAATTATAGACTAAGTCAAAGTAATCAATAAGATAAGTTAACCCACCCAATCAAAAATAATTCTTCATAAATCCTCATTCCCTCACTACAAATTTATGTGAAGGAATGACGAAATAAATAATAATTGAAGGCAGGTCGTGATATAATCTTACTTTTGAAAATAAGTTTATGCTTAAATTAGGTACCCCCAAAACGCTACTTCTCTATATAATTAATAACAGTATAAGTATTTACCTTTTGTTTTACCAGGCTGTGAGTGTTAATGACGATCAAAAATGTAACTTTAAAAAATTAATTTATTAAATCTTTTTTCAGCGCAAACACTTACGCCCTCACGTTAAATTCGCAATATTGTTAAATAGACAGTACTACCCACTATCAAAAACCAATAGCAGCTTTCATGTTTGATTACAGATGCGTTCATAATTCGATTGCCAGTAAAGTGTGAGGATATGATTTTTTTTGAGACACGTGTTGTCTTAAAAAAAATCATCAAACACGAATGCTGCTATTGGTTTTTGATAGTGGGTAGTACTGTCTATTTAACAACATATTTCAATTTATTAAATTTGTTTATTACTTTGTAATCTAAATTAAGTTTTAATCTATTACATTTTTATTCGTTCGGCTATACTTGCAACAGATTTGTAAATTTTATTGTGTCGTTGGTAATGATGAAATGATTTAATTTGGAGCTTGGAACACAGTGAGGGAATGATTTTGGAGATATTAAATAGATGCATTTATTTTATTACACACTTTTAGCACCAAACTGATGTGTGAAACTTTTAGGCACAGTAGTGTAGATTACTAGGAAATATTGGTAACCGATTCATGTTTCTTAGATTTTTGTTAAAACTCAAAGGACACGACTTTTGAATTTAATTTGAGAATTACCCATTAATTATTAATTCTATTTACATATAAATATTATCTACTTAGTTGACTGACTCATAACCGCAAAGCTGAAGCTAAAAAGGAGAATTAATAATACTAAAATTGGAACCAACAATAAACAGCGAACAATAAAAAAACCCTTAGTCATTCTTCAACCAGTTTGAATACCAAAAAACAAAGAGAAAATAATTATGTATATCTTTACAACAATTAATCGTGATTAGATATCTAATTATCATTAAAATCAATAGTCAATCAAAGGATAATAGATTCTGCTAGATTTCGAGTTTTTATGAACAATTTATAGATGTATATTGACATTTACTTTTAAAAAAATTTGTTTGTCAATGGCTGCGTAGTTTATGAAAAAGCTGTGTTTTGGTTATAGGATGAGATTTGGCAATGAAATGACAGAATAAGAAGCATAATATAGTCCTCCAGATTGTCAATGCATGAGCGACATCACGGAGGTTCCAGGATAACGTAATGTCGTGATGTTCATGTGCTCGTAAATAGGCAACGGTTACCGCTTACCATCAGGCATCAGGTGGGTTATCAGCTTGTTTGCTATTCCAATTAATTAAAAAAAATAATAATTACTCAGAACGGCGTACTCGAAGAAATATTGTAATTAGCCAAATTTGACGGTATTTAAGCAGGAAATTTTCGAGATTGTCGAATAAACCTTTGCATTCAATAATAATAAATAATAATAACAATAAATCTTTTTGTATTCGATATTATCGTTATAGCGTTTAGTATCATATAAAATGCCCGATATAAAAGCTATAACTATAGGTCTCAATGTATATATTACCTTGACCATTAGCGGGTGCTCGCGGAGGTCGATTAGGCGGTTCATTTCCGGACACCACGCCCAGCTCGTTAAGTTGGGCGGCTAATTTGTCCAAATCCTGTAAATTTTATTATGTCATATTATATCTATGCAATTTGCTGTTACTATACCTGCGTATTGGTCTGTTTGAACTTCTAGTAAAATTTATGTAATTAATAATTAGTATACTACTACTAATACTTCTAGTAAATAAATGTAATATATTAAATCTCATGTAATTTACTTCATTATATTTATTCATAGTAGACCGCTCTGGAATAAATAATCTAGTATATTAAATTAAAATCGAGTCAGCTTATACTACCGATACTAAACAAAATATAAATGATTAAGATACTTGAATATTTTAAAAATGAATACATATATTGGAAATATTTAGACCAAGAATGATATATGTTTGGTTTAATAAGGACGGTTGTAAGCCTATTGAGACGGATTTCCTAGCATGTCTTGGATTCACCGTGCGGGTGCCGGGTCCTACGTGTGGCAGAAGGGAAAACTCCGAGCAGTTCCCTGAACTCGTGCCCCAGGTTTAAGGAGCCCCTTTGCCGACGTAAGTCAACACTCGCCTCTCGAGTTTCTTTGCCTAACCATCCAAATCTATATATTATTTCATGTAATGTTATATTTTTTTACAAAACATGTCTTGATCTCGGATTAATTTATCACAATATCTTCAAATAACACTACCACGAAAATAAGTGTACATTAAGCAAATGAAAATAATAGTTTAAGCCACATAATATGTCCAAGTAAAATAGACAATTGTAACAAAATACGAAACATGTCGGATGAACCGTTGAATGCCTGTTCAATGTAATAAATGCCTGTCAGACCAATTTGTAATCTCTATAAATAACATTATTTCAACAAACCTCTGGTCTTCTTTGTGGTATCTGCATGTGTTTAAATCAGGAGTGCAAGAATAGTCAATGTGAAACATGAAAAGAAAAAAAGAACTAAATAAAAAGGAATAATAAAGTCCAAGCAAATAAAAAAAACATATTTGAGGTAATAATTCAGTTTTCATTTGCAACTAACGGGAAGTAGTAATAATGGTTTTTGGTTAAAACATATGTAATAAATATATACTATAAATAAAATAAATAAATACATACCATAGGTTTGAACATGTGATGTGATCCACGCTGCGGTGGCTGTGGCCCGCTGGCGGGTGGAGTACCGTTGTTAGAACCCGAACTGTTCGATGATCCTGAGGACTTCGGTGTCGGCGGAAGCGGCCTGTAGTATCAGAACTTTGATATAATTTTTAATCAAATCATATTAATTTGTATTTATTCGAAATTAAAAATAAAATAATGACTGAATTTCATTTATTCATAGGTTGATTTCGATTTAAATTGTACACGGTATACCTAAAACCAATAAAAAGTTAATAAAATTTTAGTAAGTTAGTAGTCACTAATAGGAATCAAATGTATAATAATTAGAACACTAAAATCTACCTGTATCTATTAGGCTGCTGCATCTGCGGATCTGGCACAACAATCAGTCTTTGGGGGATGGAAGGCCTCGCCGGCGGACCAGGCTCTATGGTACACATAAAAAAGTTAAGAAAACCCACAATTTGTTATTACAGTGTATCACATTGTTAAAGTTATTATTATATTACCAGGAATTTCTTCTCGATCTTCGCGTTTGCTGTTGCGTTTTGGCGGCGGCTGCGGTTGTGGAGCATCGGCGGGAGCTCTGATTTGTTTTTTAAAACGTTGTTATATTAAAGAACAAAGTTAATGGGCGATGAATTATGTTTGTAAATAATAGATACTGACCTGCATTCCTGTATCTGTTGGAAGTTGCGCCGTAGAGTGTCGCCGCCTTGATGTGCAGCCGCATTGTGTACAATGGAAGACGGTTCTCCAGCGACGGCATTCTCCTCTTCTTCACCCTCAGAACCTGAGTACTTGTAGTCCTCTCGCACGGAATTGTCCTGTTTTCTTTTCTTACATCTGTCTATATGATCTTTCAGTTGTATTCGGACTTGTCGCTCTGTGGGTTGGTCTCTACAGATATGATATAAAAGATTACATTACATTGTATACTCAATAAATAAAAATTTACGTTATGATAATATTTTATTGTGAGTAATCATGATGCAATAATAAATGGAAAAGTATAATAATCAAGAATCAAGAAAAAGTAATTAAATAATATATATATATTGATTATATTATATTCTGGTATAAGACAGTACAGTAACTAATCAATCACAACATATGTCAAATTGTTCCAATTGAGATTAGACCTATTTACTTAAAGTATTTGACATAAATGTATAGAAATATGGAATACTTGTAATGTAGGATTACATACTAAAGTTGAGATAATCTGAGGACCTCAAGCTAAAATGTCCCAAATACTAATAGTTCACTGTAACCACTTGTTGCCTTAATGCAAGTCTAAAATCAATGTAATATAATTTGTAGGCTGGCCGTAATATAAGTAAATGTTCTTACCTTATAAATGGATGTTTCAAAAGCTGTTCAGTGTATGGACGCTGATGATAATCTTTGACCAAAACAGTTTCAATGAAACCATGAAATTTTTTTGTCCATTTTTTGGCCTTTAACCGGGGTGGTGGATTTCTGTAAATATAAAAATATAATGTATGATGACACACACACCTACAAATACAATCATGTTATGATGGATATTCGATGATTATTAATTTGTTACCTGGGAATTAGGAATAGAGCTCTCATAGGGTGAAGGTCACAAAGAGGTGGTTGACTCTCCGCCATTTCCAGTGCTGTGATGCCAAGAGACCAAAGGTCAGACCTATTGTCATATGTTGCATCAGGATTTTCGTCACAAGCTATAACTTCTGGTGCCATCCAATATGGGGTGCCTATAAAGGTATTCCTTCTGCCAATGGTTCTGTCCAGTTGCGCCGATACACCAAAATCCACTATTTAAAACATATAATAATTAATTTATGTAAATAATATTGTGTAATTATAATATTCAAGAATATACATTTTTTTACCAAGTTTGACTTCTGCATTATCAGTCAATAGTACATTTTGCCCTTTGATATCTCTGTGAATAACTTTATTGCTGTGCAAGTAACCGAGACCTCGCAGTATTTCTCGACAAATATATGATATCCATTCTTCTTTTAAAGATTGGCCTTTTGTGGATTTCACTAAATCTGTCACAGATCCTAAAATTGGCAACAATTGGTTATATTATCATATAATTAGTTAAAAGTGCATAACAAAACATACAAATATATACACAGATTCCATCTGTGACTTATATAATTACCAGCACCACAATATTCCATAACCAACCAGAGCTGGTCATCTTTGCCGGGTGGACTTTTTTTGATGAATGCACCATAATATGTGGCAATATTACGATGATTGGAATACTTTTTTAGCACATTTATCTCAAGCTTAATTTCTTCTTCTTCATCCTGTGTCACATCCATTACCTTTATGGCGGCAAGCTGCCCTGTCTTTGTGTGTCGTCCCTAAAATTCAAAATAATGGAAATTACACACAATATTCATTTCGGAGAATACCTTTGCACTACTACTTCTAGACTTATACTAAAAAATATACTGTATATTTCGAAAATTATACTTTTAAATAAAATTATTGTTCAAAAGTATGATTTACAAAATATCTTTTGTAATTACAGAGTACTTAAAGTTAACCACTGACTTGAAAACTGCTGGCAGCCATAATATTTTTAAGACTACTAAACCTGTTCAAAGGATATATTGGACTTAAATAATTGCATAAATGACATATTATTAAGATTATTTGAATTAATATTTAAATTGATTGATTGTTCAAATGGAAAGTAATTATCTTGAATGTTTTATTTTATTGTTTTATAAATGTTAATTTCAAACATGATTATGTAATTGTTATAGAATAAATGAATACAAATAAAGGAATAAAGAAACACTTTGTATATCTTATATACAAAGTGTACCATAGTTATAATATAAATAGTGATGTAATAAAGAGAAATAAAGCAATGAAATACAATGGTATCCATGTGATGGCAGGAAAAATAAAGGCTGACAAACAACCAGATGTGAAGTCGACCTGTTAGATGCATGACAAAAACACTACAGTAATAGAAATTGTATTAAAGTAAACATACAAAATCATTATTTGTCATGATAGAAGAAAGAATACAATTTTCTGTTTTATCCCTAGAATTCTACAAGTAAAGTGATTTATATTGATTTAAAGGTACAAAATCTAGATGAACACCAATGTATACAATGTATGGCAGTAATAGCAGTTTATGAAAGAAAGAATACGTATTTATTTTGATTTTAGCTATTATTAATATTTTTAGGATTCTAAAATTGAACTTTAAAGGTTCTTCTTCATAAGGCAGTTGTTTGTCTCTCCAATTTCTTAGTTATACACAGAATTATATGTAACAACAATATTAATCCTGACCATTTGCAAAATTATGCAGTCTAGTTTTCTAGATTAAGACTAAAAATAAAAGTTATTGAACTAAGGAAATACAGAACATACTTTGATATGCATGCTATAACCCCTGTCAGTTTCAATTTTAGTAGACAAGAATATGGAGATGTTATTCTGATTATATTACATTACTAGTACTAGGCGATCCCTGTGAACTAGTCTACTTAGAATTAGTACACTGAGTAGTCTACATTTTTGTGTACATCTACAGTATTGTTACTTAACAATGGATAGATTTGTAAACTATTTAAACTATTTCCCGAGTAATATAATGTAAATTTTTTTGATAATTCAATATTAATTTTTATCTTCATATGAATATTCATTAAGAACATACATATTTTTACAAAAAATTAACAAACTGACATAAAATTTTGTTTATACAATAGAGTAGATTTCAATATTATATGTGATTTATAAAAAATATTACAGAACAAAAATAGAATATATCAATGGTGAATATTAATGTAATTTTTATACTTCCAATTAAAGACAGCTTGAATACAAATTATTGTATAATGCCACAAATTTATTCCACAACCATTACTAAGGTAGTGTTTTTAATTGCTAGACCATCAATATTCATAAAATATTAAATTAAAAGTAAGAAAACATATTGATAGGTTTTTAATAAAACAAGAGCAGCTAATTTAAATTATTTAAATTTGATAAGATTAAAAGTACATAATACATACACATACATAAAATATCTGTACTTAGAGATAATATTTTAGCCTAGATTAGATATAGATAATTAAACAAAAAATATTCTATGCTAAGACACAATGATACTAAAATGGATGATTTCTGAATGTATTAATTTAAACACCAGCATAGTTTATAATAACTTACTAATACCTATGAGGTAAATAGATAAACATTTATTATTATGAATGTCCAAATATTATTCAACCAAACAATTGTTATTGTCCTCTTTGTTACACATTCATGTGAATTGACAGATAAATGGATAACAGCTATATTAATTGACATTAGTAGTTTGAACTCTTCAATTGTAATAATTTTATTAGGTGTTGTGATGACAGGAGCGGTGGTGAGAGTAAACACACACAGTAGGGTGTAACTTGTATATTTAACTGTTACATCTTGAATACTCTAACTTACACTAATTACATAAACTATATATATGAGGTACTGCGTGACCTACGTGTCGTTATACAAAACGTACACTCGCACAATCTTTTACTGAACGTGCTGATTTGCATCACTATACCACACCTCCCCTGAAAAGTAGGGTGTCTATGGTGAGGGTGTCCCCTCCCTCTGAAAGTTTAACATTACAAGGACAATTTTTATTATTTAAACATTTACATACAAAAAGACAAAAAAAAACAGCACTAAGGATTAATTTAACTCAACAATTTCTCAAGGTATATCATACCTGAGTACAAAAAAAATACAAACTTTTATAATTACATTGTATTGTTAATACATATTTGTCATCATCTAACAGATCTTGTTTTCTACTAAACAAGTAGTAACCAAAAATTAAAATTAGGCCTTTTACTCTATAACAATTTTAAGAAATTTTATGCTTTACATTATTGGCCAATGTGACAATGCTCACTTCATTATCTGTACTTATTGACTTACTATACTTATCTATACATTTTACAGTATACCTACATAATCGTAAAAACTCATCATACTTCTGTATATACCGACAGAACTTATTCACTTGAGACTTATTGTACATATTTTTAATAATTATAACTTCCATAATATTATGATCCTTGCATATCTCTACAAGTTCTCTTAATGATTCATTTACGCCCACCTTTGTTAATAGAGACGTTTGATTTAAATATATTATAGATCCGGATAGAACTACATTGCACGCATTATCATGCATATTATGCATACCTAACACTTTTCCTAATGTCTCCTTATTACAAATATTTACTTTCACACGAAACTGTGATTTTCTAGTAATTTCTACCATCTTTGATGGACTAGATTTTATTTTCACTTGAGAACATTTATGAATTTTTTTAATTGGACCTTGCTTAACGCTTGAACAGCATGAGTTTAATTCTTTTAACTCATCGGACGTTACAATTATTTTCGATAATTGGTTCGTTGTTCTATTTTTCGAACAATTTACATTTTCCACAATATAATCAGTTTTCCTTTTATTAGGAAAAGTAACATATTTTATACCATTTTCTCTTTTTTGAAAAGGTATACGGACCCTATCAAGTGATCCGTGGGGCTTTACACTTAAACAGCCCAATTCAAAATTTATAATACCTTTAAATTGTATTAAAAAATCTTCTCCTAATATACCATGGGAACTGCACTGTAATTCTTTAAATACATAAAACTTTTGTCTAAATTGCAGTTTCTGAAATTCAAGATTCAGGTAAACAAATCCCATTGCCTCTAGATTACCACATACGCCTTTTATTATAGCGTTATCTTTATGAATCTTAATTGAAGGCAAATTTTTTAACCAATCGTACTTTAAAACAGACATTGACGCTCCTGAGTCTGCTATCAAAAATATATCCTTATTAAAACAATTAAATTTAACTACATTATTTGTGTTAAAAGCTAAAATTTCGGTATTCTTATTTCCATGAACAAAATCTAACGATGTCTTTCTATCGCTATTCCTACTATCAGCTGACGCTTTGACGTAATTCATATGCTTACTATAACAAACTGCGCGACCTTCTTTACTATGCATTATTGTATTTTGCTGACTTCGCGCCTTAGTATTATTACGCTTCGCTTGACATTGATTTGTTCTGCGATCAAATTCTCTTGCGTCATAATTTATTTTATTTATTAAACACGTTTGGAAGTTCTTAGGAATGAATTCCTCCTCTTCTATTGCTGTTTTGACAGCTTCTTGTAAATTTGATATATTTCTACATATTATATACATTGTCAACCTACTATCGTTTAGCCCGTATGCAAATTGCCTAATTGCAATATTCTCATTTATGGGCAATAGAATATCATACGCGGTGTTCAAACCCCCCGCTTGGGCAATTGTTAATTCAACAAACAACCTTTCAATTTCATCCCCAAATTCTAAAATTGTCCTATTACCCTGCCTACATTTTTGTAGTTGCGTTAAAATGTATGAATATACGATTTACTTGGTAATAGAATTTTTCTTATATCCTCCGTTAAATTATTAATATTATCGTAGTTTGATTTTAATTTTAATTTGGCACAACTAGAAAGTCTCGTCTTTAATATAAAATTAATTAATAAGGTATGGTCATCAGGCCTGAGGATGGTTTTGTAAAATTCAATGCCGTCTAAAAGGCTTTTTATAATTTCCTCATCCCGATTCACTATAGGTAATAACAATAAACCTGTTTTTAAATCAAATGCGGCCATTTTTAAATTATACAGACTAATATAAAAATTCTTTCAAAAATTGTGTAAGTGGCCTGTCACAGTTTGCCTACTTCCTGTTCAAAATAAGTGACTTTAATTTAAATACACAATCAAATATTATATACCACTTAATATGTCCCTAAATTATATTTTCACTGCACCAAACATGTATAAAAATGTCTTCAGAAATGACACTAATCACGGCACATTTGATAATCACTACAACATTTGTAGACCGCTAGCACCCTTTTATTCAATCTTTATACTTCCATCTATGGATGCTTCAATCAATTTTTTAGGCACAGGTATGCGGTGAACCTCAATTTGAGGATATTGGACACCGATGGCCTAGGAACATTAATGTCCACCGTACAATATATTGAGGATAAATAATTTATACCTCTTTGCTGCCCGAAGATCTTCAGAGTATAGTCTGATCTTGATCCATTTATGCAGCTTCTTTGTCACGGTCGCCATGTGATGACAGGAGCGGTGGTGAGAGTAAACACACACAGTAGGGTGTAACTTGTATATTTAACTGTTACATCTTGAATACTCTAACTTACACTAATTACATAAACTATATATATGAGGTACTGCGTGACCTACGTGTCGTTATACAAAACGTACACTCGCACAATCTTTTACTGAACGTGCTGATTTGCATCACTATACCACAGTGTAATTTTTTATTGGATGTTCTCAGATGGGTTTGAATAAAAATATCTATTTACCTACACATTGAGCCCTGTAGAATTTTTCCCTGACAATAGGATAAGTTTGAGAATATTTTCCAAATAATGTTATAACTACTGATAGTTGAAATGTTAGTACTAAGCAACATACCTTGTACACTTGGCCATAGGTGCCATTTCCAACTACTTCTATGAGTTCAAATATGCCAGCGGGATCCTGAAAAGATATATGGCAGGAGATAAAGGTTATTATACTCCTTCAAATAGGCGAACCTTCACTTATGATTCACGCCCTGTGAGATCATTGCCCTTTCATTAATGTTTTCTGTATGATAAGAGTAGAGATGGTCCTAGGTGTTTTACAATATGTTACATATAAATACACTTTAGTAAAAAATTACCTTTAGAGCGCTGAGGTCAATGTCGTCTAATGAACAATTTACAGACGGTGCTAGTTGATGCGCCATTTTGAGTATATTGTCACACACGAAGACAAAGCACGAGAACCTCACATCAACGTAAAAAGCGTACAAAAGCTCTAAAATTTGACATTGGCAAAGATGTTATATATTTTTAAAATATTATATGGTAAAGTTGTTTAAAAAACACATTGTTTACACTTAAAAATAAGTAAATTACAAATACACAATCGTACTGATGGTCGCACTACACCCGGCGGGGATGCCATATACAAGAATATTTAAAAATTACTACTTAGTATTTAAAACAGTTAATGTTGGAAGAGTGTTAATAAATTATACCATTTCACTACACTGTGTTTAAATAGAGTAAAACTAATCGTTATACAAATAAATTTATTTCCTATTATGAAAATAAGAATTTCACTGGCATTTATATAAGGGAATTATAGTGAATTGTTGTTTATTTGTACTTTCTAAGTTCCCGAGATCCAGTTACACCGCTCAAATGTCAGCTTAGATTATTGTGATATGTATAATGATATCCCACAATTAAATATATGTCTCAAATATTTCCATAGAAATTGACACACAATTTACAATAATATCCATAATATTTAAAAAAAATTGTTCGGTGAGAAATTATGAATATCCACTTTATATAAAATGTACTTGTATTTTGACTTAATTTATATATTTATATAATATATAACTTGCCAATACAGGCTATTTTATTTTATGATTAAAAATAAGATGGCCCTTTTTAGAAAAAAAAGCTCCAGCACAAAAAGTTCCTTTTCTTGTTTTTACAATGGCAATCTTATCTCATGCTGCTGTAAGTGTGACGCGAACACAGTGACTAATTAATAAGTCTCTTTCAAGATTGCAGTTTACTATGTAAATTAAATCGTAAATATAAAATACTTTGTGTAAATGGAGCTATAGAGAGTTAACTTACGAATATTACGCCTTCAAGATGTAAAATACATGATGATGATTATGATTTATAAAAATAATTTTTATTACAATAGTTTTAGAACACAATGATTTACCTAGTTGCTAAAGTGTAAAGTTATAGAAGACTTTGTGATACTTTACGCAAAAGTAGTATGCGTCGGCGCTTTTGTATTTCATTTATTTCAGCCAGTTGTAAAGAAACTTTTTTTGTTAGTGTGTTACGGCAATAAAATTACAGAGTTTGGAAGCGTAAAATCTTGGGATGTTGATGATCAATCCCATCTTAGAACACTACAATTTAATTTTCCGGAATGATAACGTATGAGGTTATATGACGTGAACTTTACCATGTCAGATCGATATCCACGTTATTGGATACCACCGACGACCCGACTGGAAACCATCATGATTAATGGCGGTTACTGTCACGACGGACTCACAGGCTTGACTTCATGTCCATCCTATACCCCCCTCCCCACCACAGGTGCACCATCATCATAGTTACCTATCCTGTAGCAACAGGCGAGTGCACCCTTATCATCCATTTAAAAAATGGGGACTCGGATCTCTGTGAATACCTTGGATGCCAGAAGGTTATTGTGGTATTGTAGTGTAATGAATACACTTCACTTTCTGATTTCGAAATTGGTAGATGACACTATGTTATTTCTGAGATTCGCTAGCTAATGTCGTTTGTTTTTGTTGCTATTTATTATTATAGTTTTAATAGATCCTGAATAGCTTGTAATGGGTATAGGTATGTGATTGGTTCGCACAAATGGATGGATGAAATGGATATAATGGAGAAATAGATGTCGCTATTTTAGTTTCCTGACGGCGGTTACCTGACGGCAACCGTGACCTCTGGACTTACTTCACTCTTTGCCGTCACCTACATATATACATAAACAACAATACGGACGTCATCCCCTCCGATCGATCACCCGTCCAATTCAAACGGGGATCGAAATTACGACGGCCTGAGCCGAGGTTCGAACCCTTAGTGGTGCCCTCAGACTAAAGTATCCGTCGGGCAGGAGTTGGCCTTCAGCCGCTCCATAAGTCCTTCCGCGGGTTTGGAGTGCCATCTGCACTCGCCTCATAACGTCCGGTGAAGCTGTAAAGGCCAGCTACGGCCAACAGCATTAGAGTAGTCCGAAAAAAAATAAAAAACGGACGTCATGTCCTCATGCGACACAACTCATGCGATGCCATTCCACAGGACTACGTGGCTTTTAACCTGTAATTTCACTCCGTAATCTGCACCTTCCAACTGATACATTTTGTTAGGTTGTTTAAATAGATGATATTGAGGTACGACGATGGACGATTTTTTACAGTCAGCCTTTGGTACGTAAATATTAATTAGACAAATTCTAAATCAGTAGATATTGCTCAAACTGAGGTAAGCATTAAAGATTGCTAAATGAAAAGCAGTGAAAAAACTCAACAATGGGAATAACGACTGGGAGTGGCCTATGCGAAAATCAATGGACAATGTACTATAATATTTCTATACACTAATTATATAATAAAAATGATGTCTCGTAAAAATATATTGTAAAAAATATATCACCTCAATTCTCGTTTTAGTCTCAAAAAATGATGAGATAGTTATATGTAAATCTCTAATTTTCTTATTATTGACCCGCAAAGTTAAAATATGTATTTAATTATTACAGACAATTTATTCTTCTAAGTACTTGGGTACATTAAATAATATAGAATTAAAAAAATCTGTATTTAGTTTATTTAATCAGAGTACTAATTTTTTTGCTTGGATGGTGATAAAAAGGTGCACTTGCAGTAACGTTATACGCGGGCGGTACACCTGTGAAGGTTGACAGGATGCATATGAAATCTGGTCAGATAAACTATTATGACGATTCAACAGGAATGAACCACGATAGTTTGGATGAACCACGAGAAGGAATGCGTGGAGGTTATTCTGAAATTACATTAGGTACATTGATGTGCAATAGCCTCCTACTAATATCCCCCCCCCCCCCCCCCCCCCACTTTATCAGAGTAGGCTGTATGTATTAATTTTTTAAATGTATATAAAATAATAAATACAATGTCCTTTATAATACTATAAAGTATTTCATGATATATTTATATACATTTTTAGTTACATCACACAAAAATCTCGAGTTCTACATTGATTTGAATCACTGGAATACGCTGCATAGTGGTAGTACCTACTTTGGTCCAGTTTATTTTGATGGATGATTGTAGATTGTTAAAGATATGAACCAAAAGTACACTAACATTTTTTGTTCTTTCTGTACTTCGTATGGTGGAGACATATAATGTTGCTATAAAAATAGTGTTGATGCTTGTTTACCTACTTTAAAATATTATCAATACACGTAGTGTAGTAACTTAACTAGAGTCTGTAATATATAATAATATATAACAGACACTAGATTAAATGACCCTATATATATGTTTCGCTTATAGGATATTTAGGTGCCCACTGTTTGTAATTTATGCTCTGGTTAGATATTTTACGAAGATATTGGATGCACTTCAATGATTTTTATATTATAATAATTACTTTTTATTTTATTAGTCGAATTTACAGTTTTTCATATTTTGTCTCGGAGGATTAAAATATGACACGTATGTAGTCTGTAATTTCACTGCTACATCTCATTCAGAAGCATCAGCAGAAGCTGAAACACAGCTTACAAAGCTTGCTTGGCGGTTTGAAATAGGTAAGATAGAGACTATACGAAACACACGAACAATTTTCTACAAAGTCAATCAGAGTGTATTTTCTTTTGAGAAAAATTCTTCTAATATATATGTTTTGACTTGATTAATATGTTTTCCTAGTCAAAGTTTATACTTTTATAAATTGAATAAAAAATGTTTAGTCTGGCTTTTTTTTGGAAAACGATTTTTTGCTATTAGCCTAACTGAATAGTATCTAGAGTACAAAACGGAACGATACAGTATTCATACTGACATTGGTAGAGGATGGGGTGCGAGTCTATTAGAACTACTATAGGGACAAGTATTGTCAAGGCTAATTTTAATTAACTGGACAAGGTATCGATTACCCGCCTATTATATATATATTTTTAATAACATTAACGTTATTAACTTAAGTATTTTGTTATTAAACTCAGTTTTTATACGGTTAGATATTTTAGATGTAGATATCTACACCATTTTAATATTTGGCCTAGTTGTAGCTCGTTGAACACGACATGTGCTGCAGTGCTATTGCACAAACACCAAACTAATATTATTGACTAGACATTACAGAAGTAAAATATAGCCGCGGTGCTACGTGCGGCCGCGCGGCCATGCATACCCAATCATAAGATCAAAGCACGCATAGGTAGGTACTTTACCTACTCTGCCACCCACACGGCTACGTCAAGTCTTGTCTGTGTTGGTGCTGCGGTGCACACTGACGTAGACGATGTAACACTAATAAAAGTATAATAAATGTTACCAAGACACAAGCACAGCGTACGGTACTATTTGTCTGGAGGGAGGTTGGAGGCACTCGTACAACCGTCGGAGAGGCTGTGTTGACGCGACCCGCCAGTTTACCGTTGCGTGGCGCGTTGTGCGGCCGGACGCAGGAACGCCACCCGCGCGCCGCCGGCACCCCCAAAGCTCTTTACCGCTGCCTGTGCCTGAAACCTGGACTCTGGACTGTCCGCCGGGACTCCTAGGACTCTCCCTACACATTGTGCAACAAGGGGTGTTTACGAACTAACAATATTGATACTTGTTCTCTAACGTAGAGACAAAGTGTTACAACTCGTGCTTATTTCACCGGAGTGTTAATCCGATTTCTGATTGTTTATTGGATCGTTTGTTCATCAGTGAAGGTAAGTTTGTACCTATTTTAAATTACTGTTACTACTAAATAATTTTTCTAATACATTTGTTAGATGGGTCTAATAATAATAACACAGATAATATAATATTACATACTTCCAGTATAGCTGATGCTCCTAGATATTGACATACATATACTTGAAGTATATATAAAAGTAATAACATAAATTCCTATATTTACAATAACTTAATTTTATTTGCAATTTACCAACTTAAGGCTAAGTTATTCTAGAATAATAGAAAGAGTGTGTAAATATTAGTTGGATGGATGGTCATTATTAAAATCTTATACTTTACCAATCATACTCATCTGTATGATTGTTATAAGGTTTAAATGTTCTCATTAAGGTGGCTAAATCTTTTAATAATTGTTATTCTACAAATTAGTTATACTTTATTTTGTTTAACAAGAGTTACAATATAAGTCAAAGTAGTGAGTGGTCGTTATTTTTGACTAAGAGAACAACACAATATATCTAAAGTCGCTTATAAATAAGAATACCAACTTACCAATAGTATTATTAGCACCTTTTTGGTAACCAAAAAGTAAAGAAGAGGAAGAATTTTTAGTCTTCCGGAAGGAAGGAACAGGAATACTAAAAAGTTTTCCGTTCTTCTTTCAATTTAAAATCTTGAATTTTACATCTTGATTGGTTCCGATTACTTTTTTATTTTATTTTTCACTAGATTAATTGCGGCTAGATTTAAAATCTTAACTGACAGGCGATCAAATGTTGTACTTTTATAATACCTTTTCAGAAGTGAAACAATTCCACACAACAAACTGACATGGGAAGACAATTCCTATTTTTATTTATTTATACTTTCTTGGGAGTTAGGTTAAATTGCTAGTGGCGTTATATTGGTAAAATTGGTGTTGTCTGATATAGTTTTCTCAAAGAGACACATTATATGGCAAATTTTAGGATGGTCATCTTAACATTGCCAAATTGTAAGTAATGGATATTGAAACCAAACAATAGTATAAAAAGAAATAAGAGGCATTATGTGTAAATTTGAACAGAAGAATTTACAATACACCTCTATCAACTGAGTCTCTTGCGATAAATAATATAACTTCTTGTTTTCTATTGGACCAATATAGTAATAATTAATTTTTATACTATGCTATTTTTATTTTATATTAATTATTATACAATATCTTCTGATAGTAGGTATGTAATTAGTGTTTAAAAATATATGCACTGAATTTTAGAATCTGTAGTAAAACTATTTTAACATTAATCTTGATAAAGGCTAATCCAAGGATTTTGATTGTTTCTTCTACCTAACTGCTTATTTAATTTTACTATGTAATATCTGTGATCTTATCTGTGATCTTTGGATATTAAATCCTATTGGTAAATGTCCATGAACATAAAACAACATTATCTTTCCGGTGTAGCCGAGTTAAGCAATGTCCATATAAAACTACAAACACGAAAAAGCAACAGATCGATTAAGTGCACTTTATTAATTTGCTTGTATACGAGGTCATAGAATCCATATTATTTTTCATATTTCATAAGCTTTACAGTAGGTAAATTCTACACGTTGTATGACTAGCGCTTGTAGCATCGGCTTGATGCTACAAGCGCTAGTCATACAACGTGTAGAATTTACTTACTGTAAAAAAGGAATATACTCGTACATATGTGCATATACCTAACTATTTGGCCTCTTGAATATCAGATTCATTAGTGTTTGAATTTTGACTTATTTAAATTCTGATATTCGTATAATTGATTTAAATTCGGTTATTGAATCAATAATAATATTCTGTGATCTAACAGTAGCTTGAATTTAATAATCTTTTAATTAACTTAATCCAATTTTGCAAGTAATGATTAGTCTATTTTACGTTATCGGTTCAACATAGTGGTTTTAGTGTAAAATGAACTGCTGAAGGAAGAATAATTAATTATTTATTTTCTCCGCTAGAAGCTATCGAACCCTATCTATTCTTATGATAAATTAAGTACATAAAAATAACAAAATAATACCACAAAAAAGTAAGTTTCCATGTTTTGAGATCAGTAATCGAAAATAGTAACAAAAATAATGAGTTTCGCAAATCTGCGGGTTTGGAGTGCACTACCGTTATCGTTTCGTTTGATAATGTTACGTACAACAGTACCTATTAGAATAATCCGTAAATATATACATACTAGCTGTGCCCGCGGTTTCACCCGCGTTTAATTTCAATATATGAGTTTCAATAAAAAATATAACCTATGTGTTATTCTGATGGTTTTTGCATGAAAGAGTAACAAACAACTATACTTACAAACTTTCGTATTTATAACATATATTTATTAATAGGTATTTTTCGCATAATAATAGATTAAGATATTTTTGGTTGCGGCCAACATGTTACAATGTTTCAAAAATCTCTTAAGGTAGGTACCTAAATGCTCTGAAGAGTTAAAGTTGAAGAGTTCCAATTTACAGCTATAACTTTTTTATTTAGGATATTTGGGAATATTAATAGGTGTGATTGATCAGAGACTTATCAGTATAGTCCTACAATTTAAAGTATAAGTCTCAGGAGGGGTTCATATACTGTATACAATTTTACAATAAAAGGGGAATCCTGTAGCAAGTCTTTAGAATTGAGGATATTATTGCTAATTTGAAGGACATTTTAGATTGTCATATAACGACTTTCTTATAAATTAACATAAGTAGGTACTAAGATATATTAGTATCTACCCGTGTATTGTAAGATCTATTGTAATCCATTGCATGTTTAAAATTTATTAGGTACTTCATACAAAGTTGGTTTTTCATATTTAGGTTCAATTTATCATATGGCTATTTGTCCAATAGTTTTCTAGTATTTGTTTATGTAACAATAAAACATTTAGACCCATTTTATTACGATGTAATGGTTAGTAATTTTTAATGTTCTTCTAAATATAAGATTTTCAAAAAAAATAGATTGATATTGTGTGTAATTGTATCCTGTATTCCTGTAAAATAGATACATAATAGAGATGGCTAGGCATGTGATGGCGTGTGCATCGCCGTGATTTGTTTGTTACGTAATACAAATGCTCTACCACACACGCTGCCATCACATTGCAATAGCTATAATCGAAACTATACCGTATCTAAATCACGACTTGTCCTTTTGTCTTACTGTTGATGGTGACCCAATTTTGATTGTACTCAACGTAAACATGTATTTTAATAATCTCTTTGATTTTACTCGAGGTTGACTATATATGTACAAAGTTGTCTGGGTGGGGGCCTCAGCTATTACAACCGCCAAACAGTTTGTATGTAGGCTATGAAATCACAGGATAACCTTTTAGTCGTCTGGAATGGGAATGCTTGAGTCACGTGATAACAAGATGTCTTTAGTAGGTACTGTTCATGTATATAGGCGACGACTGTCGCTTATAATCCGTTTAAAAAATAGATCACTTTTTCATTTAAATAGATATAGAAATAATTTAAATAAAGAGTTTCCGTCGTCTTCATCTATATTACAAAATAGCTAAGTAGCTGTCATAATAGCGATTTCGTTGGTAATTTTTTTGAGTTCATTGTCATTTTTAATAACTTTATAAAGATTTGTATAGATGGGGTTATATTTACAAAAATACTCTTTTATGATATGTTATAATTTTCATAATTCATATAATTAATCAAACTTTGAAAATTTGCATTGTAATCAAGAAATATCTTCTGTTGTTATTTCAATTTTAATCATATTAAGTACTAAGTCATTACCATACTACACTATGTATGTACGATTATAAAAATATTCGATGCAACGATAAATAACTATTACGTAATATTGTCATCGTTAATTAAGTATATAGTATATAATGTATTCATTAAAGAACCTTGCATTTGAACAGCTAGATATACTCGAATGTTGCGTTAGATTAAATGTTATTTTATGAACTCACTTCATAGTAGAGAATAATCCAATGGTTCTGTTATAGATATATTAGATACATATCCAATAATTGAGTATCTAAGGTCCCAAAAGATTATTAAAAATAACCATGAAGATAGTAGAGATTTGGATTTTTCTTTCTGTGTAATATAAAAACGAATTTAGACTTGAAGTCATAGTACTCAGTGCAAAAGTCACCTGAGAGATTTAAGATATTATTAGCACTTCTATCTATATCTATTATGACTTAGAAATGCGAACTACATTTTTTTTACAAATAGAACTTAATTAAGTTATTTTGTGTGGGTATTTAAACTGACACAGCGTTAGTTGTTAGCAGTAAACAAACCTTGTGATTGAGAAGCCTGCAGTTTGTAAAAACTAAACGGAGGGCGCTCTAGGTCCTAGTAGAGCCCGGCATTACTTTTGTGGATATTTCGGTTATATAAGTGTCAAATAATTAAAGCCAATTACAATCGAATAAGAAATTTAGAGCAAAATACTTACTGAAGCCTTGACCCCACAATCCGGGCTCATTAGCGACGAGGTGCTATGCGGAAGCTGCGTGTGCGCCCGACCACGACACTTCTGCGCAGAAAGTGTTTGTCCTTGCCGTAGTACTGTGTAAAACCTAAAACTTTTGCCCTTCCACAAAAACATAATTTTACCAATTTCTAACTTAATTAATGTTGAATTGTTTTATTTTTTACTAGCTGACCCGTGCAACTTAGTCGTCTTCACATTGACTTGATATTTATCATTATATTTCGCCCAAATTACATAGTTGTAGCCTATGTATTATTCTGATGTATAATCTATATTATTGTAAAATTTCATGAAAATCCGTTCAATGTTTTTGCGTGAAAGATTAACAAACATCCCTCTTTACTCATAAACTTTCACGTTTATAATATTATATTATGTTATCTGTGATATTTAGTAGGATATTGAAGATGAACTAGTTTTAATTTCACAATATTGAATTCACGTCAATACCTAACTACTTACTATTTATATCATTAAACCTGAACCTTTATCGTATCATTATTAATATCGATCTTTAGATATACTTCTCAAATA